GTCCGCCCGCCTGGCTCTCGCGTCCAGCCTTTCCCCGACGCCTTTGACTGCAGCGGCTGCCTTTGAGGACGAGCGCCGACGACGCGAGGTCGACGAAAACGACGACGGGACACGAGGCCCAGCGCCCACAAGCGACAACCCTGGTCACAGGGTTTTAACTTCACTCATGTCTGGAGGTGTTCAGGCCATGAGCCGCCCTGTTGACGCGCCTCAGCTGGCGCCAACTGCAACTATGGACCCATCTCTAAAGGTATCAAATCCCGTGTCGCTGGCGCAAACCGCGACAAGTCAGGTTGAAGAGCATGGAGCGACGAGTCCACAAAGCACGAACAGCCTGGTCGGTGTGCCTGTCACAGAGAGCCCGACCCCAATGGACGTGGACGCGACCAAAGTTGATCCTCACCAACAACAGCATCAACAATCATCGCAACAAGTAGTCGGACAGGAAGAGAGACATCAGCCTGGATCACTGTCGTACCCCGGCTCTCTTCAGGCTACTGCCAATCTGGCAGAAACTCCAACTAGAGGCATGAGCTTCCCAATGCCCACACCCGGTCAGACGTCTCCTACCTCATCAGGTTCCAAGAAGCACAAGTGCCCCTACTGCAACACCGAGTTTACGCGCCATCACAATCTTAAGAGCCATTTGTTGACACACAGCCAAGAAAAACCTTATGTTTGCACCGAATGCCAAATGCGCTTCCGCCGTCTTCATGACTTAAAGCGGCATGGTAAATTACACACTGGCGAGAAGCCTCATGTCTGCCCTAAGTGCGATCGAAAGTTTGCTCGTGGCGATGCTCTTGCTCGTCATTCTAAAGGGGCTGGTGGCTGTGCTGGACGGCGATCCAGCATGGGTAGCTTTGTCGACGACAATGATTTGGAGAACAGTATCGCTGAAGCTGAGGACTCAGCTATGTCTGGACTCGCATATGATAATGCTGAAGAAGAAGAGCTGAGACGTCAAAGCCTGCCGAGCATCACGGCCCAGCATGTTGCCGGAGCGCAAGCTGATGGCTACGGCGCGCATGCTCGAACTTATCCACCTCCGGGCCCCCGACCTGGAACTGGGGGTCTGTATCCCCCTAATGTCAACCAAAATCAGACGAACTCCAACTCGTCGCAGCCTGTCGCCAACAATATTGCCGGGCACAACGCCAACGCTGGGATCTCATCAGTTGCGGCGGCAAATGCGAACATGTATTCCCAGACTGGTATAACAGAAAGTCCCAAACCTTTAAGCCCTGGAGTGCAGGGGCATGAAGTCAACAACTTGGCGCGTCAACGTTCACCCAGCCTAACTCAGCAGCTACAACAAGCACAGTTTGGACGCCGGGCATCGGATTTACAATCGCCACACAATTCTCAGTCTCGGCCGAAACTTCCTGGACTCTCGCATCCCGAATTCGCTGCCCCCAGCTCGACTGGATTCTCTCATACGCGGAGCGGGAGCGGTGCACAGTCTACCAACGACAGCGGAAACATGTTTGCTCAAAGTGATCCCAGTGTGTGGGCATATGTTCAGACGTTGGAAGAGAAGATCAAGGCGCTCACAGACAAGGTTTCGACTCTAGACCATGTGGTTGCAGACCTGAAACAACAGATTGAAACGCGCGACGCAGCGGCAGCGGCTGTCGCCAAGGTGTAGGGGGGCAAGCGCCATTGCATTTGTCGTTGCAAAGCAAAGTATACTGAGACGACCTTTACATTATTTTTTTTGCCTTGGGAAGTGTTTGGCACGGTGCTCAAGGAGGCGTTTATGGGACATGGGAGCATGCTTTCTTTCTTTATTCCTCCGTTATTGTCTGTCTTTGTGGATGGTAGGGACCTCCACGCCAAAAGAAAGGGTACGGGATTGTTACGACCGGCTTGTGGACTTTTTTCACCCTCTTCTTCCGTGTATCATATGTTATTGCCTGCCTGTTGAGATAGCGTGCCCCATGGCAGCTGGAACCGTTCGTCTACCAATATAGGTGGGAAGAGTTGTGCAAAGTGAAGACCTTTGTATATAGATAATCTATCTGGTTTAAGGCCACGGAACCGTGCGGAGTGCACACTGCAAGTTGTTGAATAGAATATGTAGATTGGGTTGATTACCTGTGCTGCTTTTTGACGCGTTCGATATTGGTTTTGAACAAGTGAGTCTGGTTTCCTATGCTACCAGGTACCTACCCGTCGATGCCGAGGCTCAACTGGAATTTGGAGTTTCAGTGAGTACTAGACTGGGTGAGGTAGTACTGTCAGTGATAAGAGTGGACATACACTGTGTAAGATACCAGTACGCAAGCGGAGCTCCCGTCTTGTCCGAGTGATGGAACGAACTGCCTACTGGGGCCCCCTGACCAGTACCTAATAATGGAAGATGGAAGCTTCTGATTTCACGTGTCAAATCGCTAAGATACTGTAATGACACTGCCTATGATACGACGTCATCATTAATAGCTTAGCTTTTGCATAACACAACGCGAAAGCGGTCCAGGTCCACCAAAGACGAGAACATGGCGTTTAAAGCCTGTGTCATTGTCGCCGATTCAAGACTCTTCTTCTGATTTTGCCCTTTCCTCGTCTCGTCATTCTCTTTCATTATATCAATCTGTGACGTGGCTGTGTGTATGGCCAACCACTCTTCACCTAACCCTCAATCTATACCTTCTCTGACTTCCTTTTCTTCTCGACCCCTCCATATCGGGATATTTCTTTTATCTTGACGCTGTGCTGTAACAGGGAAGCTAGCCACTCTGGTTACTGTACGTTGCGCATCATGTCGAACCCCCTAGTCGATGATGGTATTCCCACCCTGAATGGTAAGTCCGATTCATTGTCCTCCAGGCGAATTACACATCATGAGCCTGGCCATCGGTCGACAGTGGCGCGAACGCAGTGCCTGAAGATTTAACAATTGTTTGCATGAAAAATTGCTAATGATTTAAAGGCGTGCACCCGTCTGAGTTAAATAAAAAGGTGACGACAATTCCTAACCCGGAAAACGACCAACCGGCTACGTCGGAGCAATCGCAATTGCAGGATATGGTTAATGGGGACGTACGTATCAAGTATTGCTAGCTAGGTACCTATTGGATCATACAAACTGACAATTCGGTTGCAGAATAGCCAGGGACGACCTCAGATGCCAGACCGTGATTTTGATTCCAGCATATCTACCAGCAATGCCGACTTTGATGATCTGATGGTCTCAACTAATGGGACGTCTAATGGTAAACCTAATGGAGTCCATGACGGAAATGCCAATGGTTCGGCAAAAAGCTACGCTGCAGTCGCTGCCGAGGGAGATCAGAATGATGGCAAAAGCCAAGATACAGACGATCTTGATAAAAGTTACACCGATGTTGTTGCAAACCGAGACGCGAAAGACAACAGAGGAATCGATGGCTGGACTTATCCCAGGCTGCCCATTACCACCCAGTCCAAGAACCTCAAAACTGCGAGCTGGCGCGCTGGAGGAATCCGCTTCGCGCCTCTACGAGTGCCCATGAGGCGACGGTCACAGACAGCAGCGGTCTTGTTTCATTGCATGTCCATTGCCACATTTGTCTCGGCCTTTTGGTTGATTTGCGCCAACCCACTTGCCTGGCCTATTATTATCCCTTACCTAATTCATCTTGCTCTATCAACTACTGGTACTAATGGAAACTTGACGTACCGCTCAGAATGGGTTCGAAACATGAAGCTGTGGAAGCTTTTTGCTGGATACTTCCCCATGAAGCTGCACAAAACGCACGACCTGCCTACCGATAGGAAGTACATTTTCGGATACCACCCCCATGGTATCATTTCCCATGGTGCATTTGCCGCTTTCGGCACTAATGCCCTTGGGTTCCGTGAGCTCTTTCCTGGCATCACAAACACATTACTCACTCTCGACTCTAACTTCCGCCTCCCCTTCTATCGCGACTATATCATGCTTCTTGGTCTGCAGTCAGTCTCGAAGGAGTCGATCTGGAATCTCCTTTCCAAGGGTGGACCTAATAACGATGGCCAAGGCCGTGCGGTTACCATCGTTGTTGGAGGTGCCCGCGAGTCGCTCGAAGCTCAACCAGGTAGCCTTCGTTTGATCCTCAAAAGCCGTAAGGGGTTCGTCAAGATGGCCCTTCGAACTGGAGCCGACCTTGTTCCTGTTATCGGATTTGGCGAGAACGACCTTTACGACCAATTGAGCCCGAAGACGCACCCAATTGTTCACCGGATCCAAATGATACTTCTCAAGGTCTTCAAGTTTACTGTTCCGGCTCTCCATGGTCGTGGTGTGCTGAATTATGATGTTGGTCTTATGCCATACCGCCGGCCAGTCAACATCGTGATGGGTCGACCCATTCGGGTTGACAAGGCTCATGGACCCCAGCCATCTCAAAAGGATATCGACGAGCTGCATGAACGTTATGTCCAAGAGGTTGAGAAGTTGTGGGAAACATACAAGGATCAGTTTTCAGCTGAGCGTAAGACTGAAATGGAGATTATTGCCTAATTTTACTATGTATTTATTGGAAAAGTTCTGGATTGTTTTATTTATTTAAGTAGGTTATGGTTTCAGCTGTGGGCAACGAACAGCAAGAAACGGGACACTTACAGCTGAGCAGATTGGCTTTGTGCATCAGCTTTCTAATCTCATTTGTTTCTGGGCTTGATGGATGTTTATTTTCAGCCCAAGCTAATAGTAACCTTGCGACTTGAATTACTTGACATCCATGTTTTACAACCGGTATGCGCTACTTCTAAATTATATCCACCTAGACTAGGAGGTAGGTAATAGGTACGCACCATAATGAGGCACTTACTGACATGTCTACTCTAGCAGGCATGGATCTTGTTGTAGTCGTAGTAGGCAGGATATTAATTCAGTGCACGTGACCTCGCGCGGCAATTTCAGGGAGGAAGCGCGTCAATCGCGTTACACAGTACAAGATGATTCTACTCTCCTAAGCATATATCTCTTCCCAAGACAACCCTCGTACAGTTTTCTCGCCAGAAACATCGAGTTAACGATGCCACGTACTTCCCTGCGCAATAAGCAGGCAGTCAATTACAACGAAGACCACAACGACGACAAGATGCCCCAGACGAAAGTCGCAGCCCGGGCTATTGCGACTGCCAGCAAGATTGTTGAGAAAGCCAATGGAGTAGCCTCGAAAGCTGTCCCCGCAAAGACTATCACGAAGCGGAAGGCTGAGCCTGAAGCTGAGCTGGAGATTGCAGCTCCAGCTCCAGCAGTGAAGGCGGCCAAGAAACGCAAAACTAAGGCCAAAGATGAAGATGCGACACCCCTGGCAGACCGAACCGCTATCTCCACGCTCAAGCCTGCTATGCATATCGGTGCTCACGTTAGTGCTGCAGGAGGTACAGACACTTTGAGCTCTGCACTTCGTTCCCTTTACTAACATTTATTCTCTAGGAGTCCAGAATTCTGTCACGAATGCCATACACATTGGCGCAAATGCTTTCGCTCTTTTCCTAAAATCGCAGCGAAAATGGGCAAACCCACCTCTCGATCCCGAAGCAAAGAATCAGTTCATCTCGCTGTGTAAAGACCACAGCTACAGCGCAAATGAGCACGCTCTTCCCCACGGCTCATACCTAGTCAACTTGGCGCAAGCGGACCAAGAAAAAGCGAATCAAGCTTATACATCCTTTGTTGATGATCTTCAGCGCTGTGAACAGTTAGGCATTCGTCTGTACAACTTCCACCCAGGTTCGACAGGAGGCGATACAAGACCTGCAGCCATCGGACGAATCGCGGCACAGCTCAATAAATCTCACAAGGCAACCAAGACGGTAGTTACGGTTCTCGAGAATATGGCCGGTAGTGGCAACGTCATTGGTTCAACGTGGGAGGATCTCAGGGACATCATTGAGCTGATTGAAGATAAGTCAAGAGTGGGCGTCTGCATTGATACATGTCACGCATTCGCAGCAGGGCATGATCTTAGAACACCAGAAGCGTTCAAGAAAACCGTTGACTCCTTCAACGAGATCGTCGGCCACAAGTACCTCAAAGCTTTTCACCGTACGTCTTTATTCCCTTTGCTCTATTGAACTACAAACTGACAAATTCTAGTCAACGACAGCAAAGCCCCGTTCAACTCCAACAGAGATCTCCACGCTAATATTGGCACGGGTTTTCTTGGGCTCCGTGCTTTCCACAGTATCATGAACCACGCACCTTTCGCCGGCATGCCCATGGTTCTCGAAACGCCCATCGATCGTCCCGGCTCCGATGGAAAGTCCGTCGAGGACAAAAAAGTTTGGGCCGATGAGATCAAGCTTCTAGAACGTCTTGTTGGCATGGATGCTGAGAGCGACGAGTTCAAGGAGCTCGAGAAAGAGTTGCAATCTAAAGGTGAGTCAGAGCGCAACAAGATACAGGATCAGGTTGATCGAAAAATGGCAAAGAATTCCAAGGATTCTAAGAAGGGGACGAAGAAAGGTGGCAAGAAGAAGAAGGACGAGTCGGATGATGAGAGCGAGTAGAGGTCGAACTCAGGCATAGTGAGGATCATATTTCATATTATAATGGGATTAGTAGCGTAATAGTTGGTTTGTGGCCGTACAGTAAAATGTATTATAGTCGTGTCTTGGAACCACTCGGTATAGTGACCTGAACCAAATGTCTAGGTAAACTTCAAGATCATCACTGGACTCACCCAAGCTTCCCTTGTCTAGAATACGGCTAAATGTCACTTGCACCTGCGAGTTGTGATTGATATGTTACATGGTTCATATTGATATAAACTATGATTATAAGACTGATCCGGATCTAAAGTCCTCTTCACCAAAGGGGTATTGCTCATCATGCATCTCTCAAAACAAAGGAAGTTCAAAATACGCGGACAATGCGCCAAGACAACCAACGCCTCCCTCTACCGATATTTAACGCTAGATCACGAAACGACAGCAAACAACCAAGCCGCTACGCTCACTTGCGATTCTTGCCAAAGGCAGCCTCAAGCTTACCCATAGTGCTCTTGAGGCCAACGCCCTTCTCGCAGTTGGCTTCTAGCCACGTCTCCATCCTTTCTCTAACACTACCCATGGATTTCAGCACGGGCATCTTACCGCCCTCCTCCCCGCCGCTTGCTGCCGCCGCTACTGGATTGAGCAGAACCTCGAAGCAATCTGACCAAAGATCAGTCTGCCAGTAGCGTTTGAGACTCTCACGAATCTTGTAGCGTCGGGACTTGCCAAGTCCGCCTTGATCACAACGCATAGTTTCGATGTATTTGCCAAAGAGAAGTGTGTGGATCGTACCCGCGAGACCATGATAGTCAATCTGCCACGTCCAGGGTCGGCCTTCTCGCATTTCGGCGCAGTCTTGTGCGCTAGTCTTCCAGTCCGCGAAGAACTCAACCTCAGGTACAAAGGCACGCATGTCAATACCGCGGCCGAAATCAATGAGCACAACGCCACGAGACGACCACCCACCGCTTCCGTCGGCCTTCCACTGACTTGTCAGAGATCCATCGTCCTTCAGTGCATCCAAGCGGAGGAGACAATTGTCAGCCTTGAGATCTCCATGCAAAACACTCTTGGAGTGTAGAGATTCGACAGTCCGTAGAAGTTCGATGGTGAAGAACATGGCCAGCTGCTCGTCCATAACTGCAGATGGCTCAGCTCGGAAGAAGTTGACGACATCTAGGAGAGTGCCATGAGGATGATACGGTAGGAAAAGGAATGCTTCATCTTGGTAGAGGTGCATTTCGTGCGCATGAGATAAAGAAGCAGAAGCACGATGCTGAGGGCCCAAGCGAGTATGAGCCAGACGCATCATGTGGAACTCCCACGGTGTAGGGGGGTTCTCCATCTTGAGAGCCTCAATCTCACTTCGATGGTTGGTAGCGAAAGCGCCTTTGCCCATCATAGAGACAGCGTTCTCATCATGCTCATCGGTTTGCGGAGCGGAGTTCTCAATAAGGTAGACAGGGGCAAAAGCTCCAGCCCCCAGCTCCTTTTTGATCGTGTAAGTAGACTGGGTATCAGGGAACTCGATCACTACAGGGGCTGTCATAGGCCCCATTTTATCGCCAGTCTTGTTGGCCTTGGCCAGAGCCTTAGCGAATCTGCGGATCTCGCCTCCTCTTTCGTATTTCTCATTTCGATGATCATAAAACCCAGAGTATGAGCTCAGTGGGGGCAGCATTTTGGCAATGATCTCCGAGCGAACCGCCTCATCCATGGGGTTGCACTGCGGTTCCCTAATAATAGGTCCCTTAGGTGTGAGAAACTTGGAAGGGATTGACTTTCCTAGGGGACCAGCAGACTTTGGAGCCAAAGGTGCGGATATCTTCGGCGCCGCGATGGCACCGTTGATTATCTCTCGAATAGGACTGCTGAGAGGTTCCAAATCCGAGCTCTCCTCATCCTCTTCGTCAATAGTCATGGAACTTTCTCTCTTACAAGGAGTCTTGTACTGGTGGCGCTCTATTGTCACGTCGAGGGATACTTCGGTCCTTTCCGTGATAGGGGTCATAAAGGGTAGCCGATTATTAGCCACCTCAGCCGGATCCCTATATGGCCGCGTGGGAGGTTCATAATCTTCAGGGGGGATTGGGACGAATGTTGTTCGAGGCTGAGGAGGAAAGTCCTCCGACACAGGCGTTTCAACATCTCCTTCGTCTTCATCTTGTTCGTCTCCGCTCTGTGATTGGTCATACACGTTGTCAAGAGCTTCATTTACCTCCTGTTCATGTTCTGTCGCAGTGGTGTTGACCAGACCAGATGCCTGAGCATCTCCGCCCTCGTTTCCTTCTACATCAAGGCTGGGAATGTGTTTTTGGGTTGTAAAGTCCGACCATTCGCTGAGGCTTTTCACGTCTTCGTCATTATCGTCGTCACCAGCGTCACTGGGTTCAATCTGCCTCGTGGTTTCAGTGCTCTCTGCATCACTCGTGTAGTTATCATCACTCTCGTAGTCGTCTTCACATGCGCTCTCTTCTTCCTCCTGACCCGTAGGCTTTAGAGGTGCGTTGAAGATATCGTAGATATCGTCAGTGGCAGCTTTGGTATGAAGTGTCATTGTAGGCTCAGAGGTGTTCTTCTTCTTGAGCTTTGGCCTGGAGGGTGAATCAAGCTTTGCCTTGACTATTGAATTGTTAGGCTATATTATGGTGGTGATTGTCTGGGCCGACTTACTGATTTGAGTTTCGTTAACTTCCATCATCTTTTTCTTCTTAGTACCCCGTGGCGCTCGAGGTTGATCAATGGCCCTGCCGTTCTCGTCATATTGTACATTGTCTCTATGGATTGGTAGCTTGGTGGATGAGTCCTGATGGATAACGAGTTTATCCATAGGGTCCGGGTGAATCATCAACTTGTCACCAGAGTCTTTGTGAATAGGGTTCTTGTCAACAGCATCTTGATGAATCATCAGCTTTTCTCCCATGCCATTGCTAATTTCTTCAATTTCAAGAGGCACAGGAGATTGATGGACGATGTTCTGGTCAAATGTCTCGTCCTCCCAGGAATGATCGAGCCAGCCCCGGTTGGCAGCAATGATCTCCTCGAAGCTGAGTTCAGTGCCAATCTCTTCAGGGGTTGGATAAACAGCTGCAAGGTCAACAAAAACACGCTCTTTCTTCCCGGTTTGTGGATGAAGGGAGATTTGATGTTTTGACGGAACAACAACGATATTCTGTATTTGCGAAAGAGACTATTCAACCATGACCAACCATAACCATAATTAGTCCTATGACCATCAACATGTGGACAAGTTAGGGGAAAGAGGATCAACTTACCGCATCCCTGAACACCGACATCTTGGGGGCAGCACTCTTCTTTCCACCAGCGTGTAGCGTCTCTCCAGCCCAAGGTCTAGCCTCTATAGTGTTTTCTTTCTTTCGGTCCGCTAGTGAACCGATGCTATCCCAGCCCTTTGATCCAGCGCCCATTGATGACATGGCAGAGGGTTGAGCATCGGCGTCAGAGAATATCGCCATTTTAGCCTTTGTAGGTTTTGCTGCCCCACCACTGGATGTCCGTTGTGCTTGGGGGTCTGCCTCACGAGCAGCAGCAAAAGGGTCAACTTTGGAAGCAAGTGCTGGCCGCATGGCAGGCAGTGCTGGAGATGAAGGTTCGTTCATAAGATCTGGCTGCTGCGCAACACGTTGCTCGAATTCTTGGAATTTGCGCATGAGGCGTGGCACAGGCCGAGCTTCACGCTCGATGCCCAACTTGTAGACCTCTTCGGCTTGTGCCCATCGTCCGGCACCCTCGAGCCAGGCAGCATACTCCTCGTAGAAGAGGGCAAGCGACTCTCCTATTCCATGACGTGACAGGAACATATATGTCTCGCGTGGGGTTTCAGAGAAGAAGTGGATGTAGTGAACCCAGAGTTTGAGATATCGAGGATCGTTTTTGTATTGTGCTGAGCCGATGAAAGTCTTTGTTGCGCGCTCAAGCAGAGTGTGAAGTTGTGACTCTGGTGTTGCTTGTGCTGAGGGGTAGGCGTCTAATGTCCATCGCACATAACGTTCGAAGATGTCGAGGGGATCGTCTGACTCGGCAATATTTTCGACTTCCTGTTCGAATTCGGCGCGAATACAGTCGTTGACATTACGTGTATTCGAAGGGGTAGGTGTTGATTGCTTGTGAAGTGGTGATGGCGAGTAAAGCTGGGCGAGTTTCTTTGCTGAACGACCGCCAGGCAAAGACTGAATATTTTCTTTCTGACCTTCAATCAAGTCGAAGTCGACGAGGTCTCCTGAGCCTGACATCGTGGGTTAGTATATCCTCAAGAGAGGTGTTCGTTTGTGTCAAGCACTCTCGAAATCGGTGTGATTGTTGTTGAAGGGCTAACGATTTAAGTGGAATGGCCGCATAATGTTGATTAACAATGCGCCAATGAGCTTGTTGCTGCAGAAACAGCCACCTGTGGCAGCCACAACAGAGTATCCATTGAACGGTTCAAGAGCGTTTCAAAGCACTTTGGTTTCTAGGTACTTTTACAGTTAGGATCACATGGAGAACAAGGTCCATCATCATTGAAGTCGCAGTCACGAAGGAGAACAACACATTAAACTTCAATCAAAGTTTCATTAATTGATCAGTTGGCTTTTACTATTTTTGCCTCTATTACTTTCAATTTGCCATCCTGGTATATGGTCTCACGCGTCCTGGCTGAAGACCTAAAGGCATCATAATCATCACAAGGCTTTTGTTCCACACACCCGATAACCATCATTTACAGGTTAACAGACTTGCGGAAGTCCTTACCAGGGTAGATAGCCTGGTCACCGAGCTCCTCCTCAATGCGGAGGATCTGGTTGAGCTTGGCGAGACGTTCAGATCGGGCAGGAGCACCAGTCTTGATCTCACCAGCACGGAGACCGACAGCAATGTCGGCGATGGTGACATCCTCGGTCTCACCGGATCGGTGAGAGACCATGACACCCCAGCCGTCGGCGTAAGAGTCCTTGGCAGCCTGGATGGACTCGGTCAGAGTACCAATCTGGTTGACCTTGAGAAGGAGAGCGTTGCAAGACTTGAGCTCAATAGCCTTCTTGATGCGGAGGGGGTTGGTGACAGTCAGGTCATCACCGACGACCTGGATGTCCTGGGTCTTGGAGAAGTAGCTCCAAGCCTCCCAGTCGTCCTCAGCGAAGGGGTCCTCAATGGAGACGATGGGGTACTTCTTGCAGAGCTCAGAGTACATGTTGGCGAGCTCCTCGTAGGTGATCCACTTGGTAGGATCGGACTCGGGGTTCTTGAAATCAAGATCGTACTTCTTCTCGGACTCCTTGTAGAACTCGCTGGAGGCAACGTCCATGGCAATCTTCATCTGGCCGGTGTAACCAGCCTGCTCAATGGCATCGGTGATGAGCTCAAGAGCCTCCTCGGCAGTCTGGATATCAGGGGCAACACCACCCTCGTCACCGACGTTGCCGGCAGACTGGCCGTATCGCTTCTTGGCCAGACCCTTAAGAGCCTGGTAGACCTCAGCACCCTGGCGGAGAGCCTCAGTGAAGGTAGGAGCGTCACTGTACTCAAGTTAGTAATGTATTCTCGGGATTGGAGAGTCTAGACACGCACGTGGGGACAATCATGAACTCCTGGAAGGCAAGGCGGCCACCAGCGTGGGAACCACCATTGAGGACGTTCATGAAGGGAACGGGGAGGACATAGGGCTTCTTGGTTCCGGCGAGATCGGAGACGTGAGCGTACAGAGGGACGCCCTGTGACGATGTTAGCGTAATGGTACAGAATATAAACGGAACGGTTTATATCTGCAGCTTACCTTCTCAGCGGCACCGGCCTTGGCGACGGCCAGAGAAACACCAAGGATGGCGTTGGCACCAAGCTTGGTCTTGTTGGTGGTACCATCGAGCTCGTTGAGGAAAGCATCAACAGCAGACTGGTCCTTGACATCGAGGTTCTTCTCAATCAGAGCGGGAGCAATGACGGTGTTGACGTTCTCGACAGCCTTGGTGACACCCTTGCCGTTCCACTTGGACTTGTCGCCATCTCGGAGCTCGCAAGCCTCGTGCTGGCCTATATTATTATGAACTTAGCTAATGCGTACAGAGGGTGGGCAGGTAAGATCGTGACGAACCGGTAGAGGCGCCGGAGGGAACGATGGCACGGTGGAGGCCAGTCTCGGTGACGACGTCGACCTCGACGGTGGGGTTTCCACGGGAGTCGTAGACGGAGCGGGCGAAGACCTTCTTGATAGCCATGTTGACTTTATGTTATGTTTCTAAGTGAGTTGTTGGATCAGTGTTTGCCTTTAGGAATAAAAGGTGAAGGATGAAGGTGAAAAAGAAAGAAAAAGAGGAGAAGAAAAAGAGGAAGAAATTATATAGCAGTCAGGGCGTAGAAGGTTCTACCGATGGGACGGCCGGCGCTTCAACGGGCAGTCAAGGTAGGTACATGTACCTAAGACAGGTAGCAACCACGCCTGATGAGCTGAGCAGTGCGCGTCACCCAGTAATGGAGGTGGAATATGCCTCAACAGTGCCCAGCGGCTGGCTGGTTGTTGTTGCTCATCACAACCAAAACCAAAACCAACCCAAGCCAAATTGAACCAGCTCCTAGGAATTTTTGGTGGGGGTTTTCTTCCAATCGGTGAGGGAGGGGTGGTTTAAGGTGGAGGAGGGGTTGGAGGGGGAGGGGGGGAGCTCAACCTAAGCTGAGGGTAGGTAGGTGGTCTGCTTTGCTGTATTGTGCTATCGATTGCTAGGTAGACATGGATACTTGAAATAAAGATGAGGGGCATTGATAATAGCTGTGACTGATTTATCATGCATGATTGAAGCTCACCTTAGGTAAAGTGTTTATGTATTAGACACAATTGGAGCCAGCAGAAACCAGTCTGGTAGGCAAGTAAAGGATGTGATGAGAGAAGATGGCGATGGGTGGAATGAAGATGGAAGAGAAGAGGGAGAAAAAGACGAGCTATAGGAAGGGGAAAGCAGAGTGTTTATGAATGGTTCCTGGAAGCAAGAGGAAATCTGTCGATCAAGACTGACAAAAGCTGAAGCCAATCCTACCACTTCTTTCTGACCCAGTCAACGGCCGACACGAGAAAAACTGCCTCCTATACCTGTCGCCCTCACATTCCTCATGTCTCTCACCAAAATTTACCTACAAGGTGGGGCATTGATTGACGTTGGAGGGGTGAAAATGATCTCACAATATCTCACCCTTGGTCAATTCAACCAGAGACTAAAGGGAGGGTCCGATGCTCCCCTGGACTGGTCCCACCTTACGAGGCTTCACAATCGCTCAGATCCAACCCAATCCACGCCCACCTCGCTAGAAGCCATCTCAATGGCTCGCCGCTCACTCTAGAGATCCATAACTTATTGCATAACGGCCGACAAGAGGCAATGCCAGGGTCCTGATATAGCCCGCAGGACACCGAATAGTGAATATCCCATACGAGCATGGTTTGCTTGGATATCAAGCACCAGATCCATCCATGGGTCACAGAATGCATATTCATCACCTTTTGCCGTCTTAGCATATTTCACGCCCTCCGATGCAACGCCGCACAGAGACCGAGAAAGTCAGAACGGAAGACAGCACGCCGTAGGTCGTCTCAACACCACCACTGGCGTCTCCACGTAGGCACAAATATATCATGTTATGTCATGCTTTAAGCTGTTTCTCTGTGTCAATATGCACAGCATTGTCTCCACATACCAAACTCAACTATATACAACCATTATCAGATTCGTGCTTCGCTCCCGTTGATTCCCGGCGCTGCGGGCTCATCTTGCCCGTCGCCCGCCTCATCGCGACCCAGGCTCGCCGTGTCGGCTTGAGGGCGTCTTCCGGTTGGACAGCCCCGTCCCGATCGGGAGCCAAGTCAACAAGGTATGTATAATGAGAACAACACGATGCCTCGCGCTTCCGGAAGGCTGCATATCAACAAGGTGCATGGCGGCGAGGCCTACATTGGTGGTCTAGCCTAATTGAACTGCTAAAGGCTCGTTTTCTTGCCACTCATTCGGGTAGGTATGTGATGTTTAAAAAAAATAAAAAATAAAATAAAAAGACACCAATCTCCTGTGCTATGTTCAATTGTCGGTCAGCCTTCAATGTCGGTCGATCAAGATTGATGTGTTCTGATAAACATGGATGCTGATGGACTGATCTGAGTCCGTGCCTATCATCATCTCATGACAAGGTGCACTGCGGGCCAACAATAGACCCGAGATGTCCCCCCATCACCTCCAGGGGATAATGGATCTTTGATCGCTTATAACGCCGAGCATGTGGTTTGATATTTGAGGAGCGCGGCCTTACCGCGATGTATTAGACATGATCTGACTATAGAGGACAGTGTCTATGATTAGATATAATCACGCAGTAGACTATGGGTGTTGGTGGGTATCCACATAGCGACTAATCGATTCATCTCTATCTTTATCGTTATCAACATACTATGCCATCCATCCATTTGACTGAGTATCCCTGGTTCACAAATTCAAGATCATAATGCTGCCCACCCGAAACGCCGTTTGTAGCAACCCAAGTCCTTCGCCAGATTTTATTCTTTAGAAACGCTCCTTCATTCTCGCCGCGACCGTTCGAAGGTTACCGTATACCTTGCCGGGTGGTTTTCCGAGAATGAGACTCACGACTGACTCGCGAGCAAGGTGAATGTTTTTGAACCCACCCAAGATGTGAATCTTGCTATCGGCCAGAACAATACGTGTTCTGCTGGCGTTCTCGATGGCGAACTTTGTCTTTCCATCCTTTCCAGCAATTCGTCCGATAGCACGGGCTTGGCTGTCACCATGCATCGTTCGCACGTCCTTGATCTCGAAGCTCTGAATGTAAAGATCGTCTAGTCGTAGCAGGGCGATAGCGTCGTCCACATCAAAGCCCAAGGTGAAGGCTTTGACAAAATCCTCTCCCTTTTGAAGTGCTCCGGACTCAGTGGTGTGCTTTGATGACCTCAACTCGACCGTCTTTCGCTTAATGTTCATTCGGCATTGCAACTTGAGGTGCTCAACCAGAGGTGGGTAAATGGATGTCCATGACTGTTTTAGAGGTGTCATTCGGTGAGGAGGGATAGGAATCTTGCGTGTCTCGACCCTAGTGACGGGATCCTAGTGAGGTGGTTAGGAATATGAGTAGGATGTGGTGGCGCGAGTTCTCACTCACAATGTCTCTGGCGGGCGCAAATCGAGGTCGTCCTTCCTCGTCGATTTGCATATCATTGCTCTCCTCTACGGGCACGAGAACATTCGCATCGGCAGCCTCAGCGCCGGGCGCATCTAACAGGAACTCTTCATCGGCACCTGGATCCAAGTCAGACACATCCACCGTAATCAACAGTTCGTTCAGACTTTTTGTACTTACCTTCAACTGGGAGCGAGATATCGTTGGCGAGCGGGGCACTCTCGGCCTGCTTCAGTGCTGTTGGCGCAGGCATTTTCAAATTTATCTGATAGATATCCCAGAAAGATTTATGGGATTAAGATGCAAAAGACGTGCTTCAAGAATGATTGTTTGGGGTTTGTCACGAACGGGGTAAAAAAAAATCGTTAAGGTCAACCTGACTTTCCGAAGGTCTGTTCGGTGGGGTGCGTTTCTCGACTTTCGGCCACACTGAACAAAAATTTGTGTGGCTTATCAAAGCTTATCGATTGGCTCGCTGTTTGCAGTCGGCTAAGCGCGTCATGGAGTGACTTTTTCTGCAGGGCCTTGAAAAGGTGCCCGTATAGCTTGGTTAGCATGAATCGCCTGTGACGGAATCCGTTGCTCACTATCTCCGTCTGTCGTCCTGTTCCGATTCCAAACCTTCCAACCCAAAGTTTCCCTGGTTAAGGTTTTTCTTTTTTTTGCCATACCCCAGCTCTTGTTGTGTCTTTTTGTTCTTCAGTCAGACACCATGATGCTGGAATGATGGCCAAGGGTATCCCCTCTTCTGTGATCGGGCGCTGCTTGGGGACCTCCTCCAACTATTCTCCAGCAATATTCGCTTCGACACCCATACGAACTGTGACAGAACCCAGTCCGAGATGGCCAAAGACCCCCATTCTTTCCTCCGGCGTCCGGTTGAATCATACACAGCGACAAACCCAGATTTGGAAGCAAACCACCAGTAATGATGTGTCTGGAGCGCCGGTATTTCCATTATGTCATGTTATCAAGCCTCAAAAATTTATGCGCGAGCGCACAACTCCTCTTACAGCACGATCCTTAATTTCTCAACCATCCGCCTTGCTGGCTTGGTCGGCGATTACGTGGAAGCAACATCGATTCTACAGTGGCAGAGGTAACGGCAGTGGAAATGGACCGAAATGTTCTTGCGGCAAGGATATCGCAGATATCCCTCCCACACCAGCAAGAACCACGGAAGACTTGAAGAGGGTGAAGCCATCGACACTGAGTGAGGCGAGCAAAGATGCTTCAAACCAAACTACCAAGCCTGGGAACCAAGGGACCATAGAAACAGATTCTGAGCCGGTTTCCTACATGTCCTACCTACACTTGCCGAGGATGCCGCATCGACCAACCAAGGATGAACTGCTCGAGGCCGCCAATGGTTTCTGGCAGCGACTCAAGGTCCGTCTAAAATGGGTATCGATCAGGAGTATGAGGCCATGGAATATCGATGAATGGGGTGCTTTTGTGTCATGGTTCCTTTTCGGTCACCTCGCTTGGATTATTGTCGGAACAACAACGTTCTTCTCATTGATCATCTTGTCAATCAACACTGTTGTAGCTCAAGGTACGAATACGTTTGGCGTGAAATTTATATCTTACTAACGAAGAATAGAAACACTCGCTCAATGGGTAGGTGATTATCTGACTCAGTCCGCCGGTGTTACCGTTGTCTTCGAGTCGGCCATTGTTCCCAAGTGGCGGGATAACGTTATCTCTTTCCGCAATGTGTTTGTCTCGCGACGGCCTGGTCAGGGAAATGTCTCGTCCGTAAGCAAGGGCTCATCAGATGCTGCCGCCGAGGCCGCCGCTGGCCGCAAAGCCGAAGCGCCTGAAGTTGAGGACGATGGGAATTACACTCAGTTTGATGTTACGCTATCAACAGTCAACGTTACACTTTCATTTTTGAACTGGTGGAACGGAAAAGGCCTGCTCAAGGATGTCGAGATCAAAGGCGTTCGCGGTGTTCTTGACAGGACTTCGGTAACCTGGCCAGTCGAAGAGGTTGATCCATTATCGTACCGCCATAAGCATCAACCAGGAGACTTCGAAATCGAAAAGTTCAAGATGGAGGATCTTCTACTTACGGTCCATCAGCCGGGTGGATTTAGGCCATTTTCTATCAGCATATTCTCTTGCGAGTTGCCTCAACTAAGAAAACAGTGGCTTTTCTACGACTTCCTCTCCGCCAACCATATGTCAGGATCTTTCGATGGCTCTCTGTTTACGATCCATCCCCGACAGGTCCACGGCGTGGTGCCCAGCGGTAATGGCGACCCAGAAGCCTCTGTTGGCTTCGGCGACCCTAAGGCTTGGAAGAAATTTAGCCGGCTTCGTATCGATGGCTTGAGGATAGACCACCTCAATCGTGGCGTGGAGGGTCCGTTTGGCTGGATATATGAAGGAAATGTTGACATTGTAGCTGATGTCATGTTCCCGGCTGACACTGACGAGAGTATCACCAAGGTTATGGCCGACTTCTACGACCAGCTCGAAGAGATCGTCGACACAAACAGACATCGATTTATTCGCAACATACAAGAACAGGGGCCCGCACTTCTTACATCAGGGCACCTTTCAGACTTTACCAGAGATGTTCCCAGCGATAAGCCTGCCGAGGAGCCACAAACAAGCGAGGATGAGCGTCGATACCTGATCATGGACCTTCGGATTTCCATGAACGACGTTAAAGCCGCAGTGCCTCTTTTCACCAAGGATATGTCCTACGTCAACCAGGCGTTGGTCCGACCTATCGTGGCGTATATTAACGCCAAGAAGACGTACATCCCGATCAACTGCCGCATTGTGAAGCGAGCTGGCGATTTTGATGGCAGCTGGTCCATCTTTGACTGTGGCCTCATGAACGATATGTCAGCAGAGACATACGATGCGTTTGCAAACGATGTTGAAAACCAGCAGAGCCGTGTCCGGCGTTTTAAGAAGGTCGGTTTTTGGACCTTGTCGGTTGCTGTTCATGCCCTCTTCATGGGCATGGCTGGTAACGTGGTGTGAGCTGCTATAGACAGGCCACCGTTCCTCCTGCTTTAATTTTTCGGGGCATACGATTCGAAATGACGCATGCGCGACTTGTATTTTTTCTAGGGCGCTGTTTGAAGACAACCATGTTTGTAAAAGGCAACAGAGGCGTTTGGGGTTATTTACGACATGACAACCCGTTACCCGCGTTGACGGGCTCTGATATATCCACGAAAAGATTTCGCCCATGATTCTACTCAACTCCCTAATGTTTTCACGGAACAAAACGACGAGCGGGTGATTGAAATACCCTTGCGGTACTAGTAATGTTCACCAAAGATGAAATATCATATATAGGCTCTTGCATACGAATAAACATGATCTATGAGTTATCTTCAACGACTTGGCTTCCTCGTTCCTGCAGGCATGAGGCACAAGACTTCTTGAAACAAGGCATTCCACAGTCCGGACCTGATGTATCCATGTAGTATAATTTTGAAGCCAATCTTCGTCTACTAACATTAGGCCCTTCTGCGGAAATCTAGTATACGAAGAGCATAAAAAGATGCCTCCATGAGCGCGATTCGCCGCCATGTTACCCGTCTATGATCCCTGACGCTTTTCAATCTTTTGGATTGACCACTTTTACATGCATGCTGCCTTTCCCTCCCAGAGCACCGCCGCCAAACTCCTGCTTCTGTCCTGCTCGAGTAACCGAGATGGTTTCGAGGCGACGCCGCGGGGCTTGAATGTCATCTTTGCGTCGACGGCATGCCGAGTTGGCAAACAATTGGACGGGGGCAGGAGTGTATAAGTCGAGGCTGGAAGCGGCGGGTCGGAGCCCAGAGGCGATAGGTCTCCTTCGTGTGTTACTGAGAACCAGTTCACATAAAGTCATCACTGGAGGAAAAGTCAGTTTGCCGAGTTCATCTAGGTACAGAAACAAGTACTCACTCTCCAAAGTCATCGTTATCTTCGTAGGTGGTAGTATCCGCGACGTTAGCACGGCCGGTGACGAGGGAAGTCTTTGTCTTGGCAGCCTTTGACTTCTTGCCGCCCTTGTCAGCAGCCTTCTCCTCCCTCATCTTCTCATTACCCAGGGCAGTCATGCTACTGGCAAGTTTCTTGATCTGCTCGCTGTTCATCTCCTTGGCAAGGGCCTTGGTGAAGTCTTGGAGAAACAGAGAGTAGTGGGCGCTCTTTGCGTTGGCCACGATGAGAGGGGCAATGCTCGTACGGAGGGTCTCGAACTGGACCTTGGTCTTTGGCTGGAAGAGAGGCATCTTGGAGATGTCAACGGTCTTGGTAGGATCGTTGGGGTCGGTGACGACGGTAGCGGGACGAGCCTTGGCGCGGCCAGCACTAATTCCAATATCTCCAAACATGTCGGCAGCGTGTGCGAGGTCGGCCTCCTGTTCGGTACGTCGAAGTCGCTCACGTTTCTCGCTCTCGGTCTCCTCGTATCCATCAGATTCCTCAGCTTCAGCCCTCTGCTGAGCACGCTCAGCTTGGTGTTCGGCAATTCGCTGACCCTTGGGCTTCTTAGCAGCAGCGGCAGCAGCAGCAGCCTTCTGCTTGGCCTCGGTGGCCTTGAGCTCCTTCTCACGCTCGGCCTCGGAGTCATCGGCATCCCAAGAATCTAGGACCTGTAGAGAAATACAATGTTAGTTAGGCACGGAAGTGGACATCCCGATGTAACATGATTCGTAAGATAACAAGACAAAACTAGGTAAGATCAAAGACTTACATCTCCATCGTCCTCTTCATCGTCGAACTTGCGGCGAGCAGCAATGGCAGCGGCACCAACAGCAGGGGCGGAGGAGGAGGAGCTGTCGTCGCTCTCCTCGTCATCTATAGAAACGTCTGTTAACAAAGACGTCCTGCTCTTTTACAATGCTGTATGTAAGGGAAGGGATATAGAGTGACCCCGCAAAAGTCCATCCATCTTTGGATAAGACGTCACGATAATCCGGGCAAGAAGATTTACGTACCCCACTTCTTAGGAGGCATGATGTCGGTTGCTCTTTGACGGCAGGTTGTGTTTTGGTGGTTTTGCGGGAGATTGAAGTCGCAGTTGAGTTTTAGGGCGCGCGAATGTGGTAGAGGGAAATGAAGTTTTGTGTGGTGCGGTACCCAAGTTGTGCGCCTATGGTGGGTGGGTGTTGATGTTGGGCTGGCTACGGTACAAAACGGGTCGATGGATCTTCCAACAACCTGCCTACCATGTATTAATAGTAGTATTCTCTTGCATGCCTACCTACTATTGTACCAAGTTTGTTATTAACTTTACATTCAAAACCTATATATATGCGTGTTTGTGTCTGTGTGTATACTAAAGCAGTTGGTTTCATATTAGCCTAATTACTAAAGGTCTTCTAAAGATATTAGGTGTTTGCGTGAACATGAATACTAAAATGTTAAATAAAAGGCATTTACTACCTCCTACTCATCAGGCACAAAACTGATCAACCCAAGCACAATGAAAGATGGAGGGGTACTGAGTCTTTAATCAAGGAGGGGCAACTTTTTTTTGTGCTCTTGCAAAAAAAAATGGATACCAATACTAAAAGTCGACAGTTGACGTCAGACGAACTGGGAGTGGGAGCCCATACCTACACAGGTAACAGGATAAGAAATACATATCAAACAAACCATATTCACATGTCCAGCATTGATAACGCGGTACCATAGCTTACACATCTACTTTCTTGTCTTGGTAGTTTGGTACATGCTTTTTTATTCACCGAGTATCCAAGGTCTTGACCACGAAGGCGTTTTCAATACCGATCAAATAGTAAAGAATGGCAGAGGCTTATACCATCTTCTCTTCAGAGTACCTATCAGAAAAGATAACCACTCGAGACGTAAGAGACGAAATTAGTAAATCAGGTTTTAAAATCTACTAGGATATTACTCTTTTAGGTTATTTATTTTTAAAACTTAAATAAAGGGTATCTTTTCATTGCCCGCTGGATTGTCATATACCCTGTACCGCAAACTCGTCGGACAATTCCATGATATAAATACCTATGTACAGAACATATGACCATTGTATTCATTTCCTAAGTATTCCGAAAAAGACCCCTTTATTCAGAGTCACGAGGCAGTACACCATGGGCAAAACTCAAGCTTGGATGATATGGAGGAATCCCGATTCGTCGTCCTGTCTAAACCCGCATTAAATCGGAATTTAAAGAAGTACGATAGAGAAAATGAGAAGGTAAAAAATAGAATAGCGCAAGATTGCGGCAACTAAGAACAGGCCCGTTTGTAGCACGCACTACGAGTTTTTGTTCTGTATTGTTACAATCATTGATGTCAGACAGTAAGTGATTCCTAAGACATCCTGACCGTGCAAGTGTCAAGACCCGAGTCCTCCCGATCAACTTTACTCACGTGGCAGCCACAACTTTTGAGCCTCTAGCGCTTCCGATTGTCTGGGTCCTTGCGGATATCATGACAGGACCAAGATTTTGGCTCGTCTCTCAGGCTTGGTTTGGTTAGACTTGGAACAATTTGAGTCCGTTGGTGGGCGGCAGAAGGCATGCCGCATACGCCGCACTCTCTTACATGCTCAAGGTATCTCTACTCGCTCACCTTGTGGCGTCTTCTCCCGGCCTCTCTTCGTGGTCTTTGTAACGTTTCTCGTCAGCAATTGTTCAGCTCAATGCATATGAGTCAGTAATCTTACCCGTATGTGGTACAAACGCATAATCAACTTGCTTTAGCTTGGATAATATTTCTCCGAGGGCTTCCGTCTCAAGAATGTATAAAAGTCAGACTGTACCTCCTCAAGTAGAAGCTTTATATACCATGAACTCTTTTCATATCAAACAGTTACCTCTATCATCAATAGGAGTACGCTCCCACACGACTACCAATTAAGAGTCTCACAAATTCAAAATGTTGTCAATCCAACTTCAACACAGTCAGGCTTCGAGGCAGGCCGTAAAGGCTGCAACTCTTAGCCTTGTACGAACTCTATCCTCCCCAGATTCCCTCCCAAGAACGCCCGCCGTTATTCGAACCGGCTACTCTGCTTCCCAGCAACACCGACTCTTCTCATCGACACCAACCAACCATCTTCGTGACTTCTTCCCCGTTAAAGAGACACCGCATATTCACACAACGAGGCCGGCATGGCCACACGAAGGTTACACATACGAAGAGATGACGGCCGTTGAGCCTGCCCACCGAGTACCCAAGACTCTCGGTGACAAAACTGCCTGGAAGATTGTCCGCGTTGCCAGGTATTGTATGGATAAAGTAACAGGCATGGACCGAGACCAGAAGTCAGACAAGACGAAACCAACTACCGCCATCGTAGCCCAGAAGCCACTGACAGAGGCGCAATGGGTAAGTCATGCAGATGCCTTGCACTCTTTGCACTACTCAAGTTTTGGATCAAACCTAACATGAACCAGTTAATCCGATTTATTTTCTTGGAAAGTGTCGCTGGTGTCCCAGGAATGGTTGGCGGTATGCTACGACATCTCGGCAGCCTTCGACGGATGAAGCGCGACAACGGCTGGATCGAAACACTGCTCGAGGAGAGCTACAACGAGCGAATGCATCTCTTGACGTTCATGAAGATGTGCGAGCCTGGTTGGTTCATGAAGATGATGATCATTGGTGCTCAGGGTGTTTTCTTCAACAGCTTATTCGTCTCGTACCTCATCTCGCCCAAGATTGTCCACCGATTTGTTGGTTACCTCGAGGAGGAGGCCGTCCATACTTATACTCGCTGTATCAAGGAGATTGAGGACGGCAACTTGCCAAAGTGGAGTGATCCCAAGTTCAAGATCCCCGATATTGCTATTCAGGTATGATACTTATAACATACGCTGTTATGCGGCATGAATATCTAACAACACCACTCAGTACTGGAAGATGCCAAAGGAGCACCGCACGATGAAGGACTTGATCCTGTACATCCGGGCCGATGAGGCAACACATCGAGGAGTCAACCATACACTGGGCAACCTCAACCAGAACGACGACCCAAACCCATTCGTCAGTGAATTCAAGGATCGCGAACCACCAAGACCTGCTTTGAAGGCAGCCGGTTACGATCGAGCTGAAGTCATCTAAAGACGGTCAATGCCGAAATAAGAGCGACATGCCTCAAGGTCTGTTGCAGGTTATATTGAAATTTCCCGGGAAAAAAACATTTTGTTTGTGTAATAGAGGATGGAAAGACGGATCGAAAATCACGTGTACGAACGACATTTACATTCAACGACGGAGTTTGTTGGCATTTATTGGCGTTTTGGGCATAGAAACCCCACTCTTCATGCACTTCATGGAGTATCGGGCGAGATATGATAAAAGTTGAAAATCAACTTGGAGTTTTTATAATTTCAGATATTTTGGTAGTTGGCAATCGAATTCACATTTGTATATGAAGATGAGTACAAAGTAGAATTGTTTGATTCAAATTTGCTATTGACTCTTGGAAGTAGCAAAAAAAATCATACATCTTGAACGATATTAACACAAACAGTAACGGCAAGAACAGCTGGCAGCAGAAAAGTTGGCCTCCTAAGTCTTAGGGCGTAAAAATAAGCAGTCGAAGAACTATAGTCTAAGGAGCATAGGTTAACCCAGTAATTTCGTCCCTTATGTTTCTAGTGGCAAAAACAATATAAGAAAAGCCCAGTATTCATTGCTCCAGCTCCTCATCTTCATGGTCCTTCCACTTTGGGCGAGAGTTCAAGTGAAATCCATTTGCTACCGACTTCTTGTTAGTACCAGTTCTTGCCTACCATTATCGTATAAGCTTATTTTTCTTGGATACGGACCGCGTCATCAAAAAAAAAGAACTAACAAACCTCGAAGTTAATGCGAAAACTAAAATCTGCCTCGTGAGGATCTTCAAACACCAAAGGAAGAACTCGGTTGTCACCGACCGGGAGTAGAAAGCAGGGGCAGGGACAGGGGTATGTGACAAGGGTAGACATGTAAGCTGAAACTGATGTCACTGAATCAATGCTTACAACACTGATTCCTGTAGGTACAGATTATACGCAAATCACCATTAGTCAATCTTCCTTTAATGGGGAACAAAAAAGCACCGCCTCAGATTGTGGGATCAGATCGTGGGCCGCGTGTAAGGCTGGGGGCAGTGTAACTTAATACTGCAATGTAGTACGTATTAGACATCCATGGACACATTGTAAGTGGTGATCTAAAGCCGCACTAGAAGCATCACACTTTCCAGAGGCAGTGCAAAACGACGATCCAGGAACGTCCAGTTAGTCGGTTGGTCAACGGATGTCTATTATAAGCTCTGAAAATTGTGCTACGTAGGTTGTGGTTAGACTGATTGAAGTACTAGTCACTTGATGGAATGTGAGTTTATCTCAATATAACATAACACACATCATTGTAAGACTACCTAGATACGACTATCTGTCGAAAGAGTGATAGAAATGTAGGGTTTGATGTGATTCAACTCGTCCCCTGCATTCACTTGACATCCATAACTACCTATGAGCAGCCGTATCTGTACTGTGGACTGCAATGTGCACCAGAGAGATGAGAGTTGAACTTGGCTTACCCTTGTCTGAAACAGGCTGATTCGATAACAAGCGCGCTCCCGACCTAAATAACCTGGTAGCAACCAGACAGCGTTGACACTTCTCTCTGGTTTGACAGGTAATAAGATCCACTAAATCCGGCGGTTTTCTGTTAATCTTAGTGGGAAACTCTAACAACAATCCGGACAAACGTCTACCTTATTTCTCTACCGACATATGCCCAACGGGTACTCTGTACTGCACAGTGTAGGTGGATAAATATCGAGAAAATACAGACAGTCATGATATTTCCGTAGCTGCAAACACATACGTTGATACTTACGGGTAAGGATATCCTCAGCCTGCCCATTCTCATAGCTCACAAAACACAGCCAAGTAGCATTCATCAATGTCATTTGTGCAGGTAGGTATGCAAAAGTGCCGCTAATAAAATGGTAAATTCGGTATTTAAATAGTGCTGATGCTCATTTACCGAGGGCCACCAATCCAAAACAAGTGGGTGAGATACACCATTTAAGAAAGCGAGTGGATTAATTCAAGCAAGATTCAGTGATTTTCTTTCTGGTATCTCCCGAAAGATGGATAAGATACAGTTTAATGACAAGCATGTGATGTGATCTCCACATCATATTGACTCGGCAGAATTAGAGGTTTGTTCGCTAAAAAGTGATGTCTTTTCCACCATCCACCGTATTACTTTTCACTTCTCACTTAGTCACATACTAGGAGCAACTTTAGCGACATCACGATTGCTACAATCCCACGAAGCAAGTCTGCCTCGCTTACAACAGATCAAACCATCCCCAATATTGTTTTAAAATTAGCAAAACCTGGTCTGACCTAAGGTATGTATGTTGCTGATTTGATAGACTAGGTATCCGTATCTGGGGGTTATTATCATACAACACCTCGAGGACCCTCGACGTGTCTCTGCACAGCCTCCAGACTATCCTGGCCTCATGTAGGTAGTCAAATGTAAGCACTGTACTGTTAGTAATCCAATCCAATCACCAATTCATTTTTTGTCAGTTTATGTAGGCGTTGGAGATCTACCCGGCCCCATTTGCATAGGCTTCTATTGGAATTCTGGACGAAAAGGGACCAGCCACATGTAAGAGCAGAGAAACCCTTCCGTTCCAGCGGAAAAGTAACAGACGGGCTTGCATATGCTGCTAGTAATCTGTTAGTGGTATGGATATTGATTGTACCTACAGCTGCCCGTCATTCCCATTTCCATTTCCACTTTCATCTTTATTCTCCCCGCTTCCCTTTGTGCCCCATTCCGTCTTACTCCTCATCCTTATAGGTATTGACTAGGGAAAAGAAAAAGGCTCACAAAGTAGTGGTAATCAAATAAATTGCCATGGTATAGGTTGACTTTACTATTAGGTACCGTACCTTACCTACTCTACCTGCTATTACCAGACACACACCCCCCAAGAAGCATTGACTGACCTAATCCAATCACCTTAATCTTACCCGCCCTGGACTGGGCTTTTTACCTTCCATCGATTATTACCATGCCTTACCAGCCCTCCTAGCTCTACTACCTGCAGCGCGTACAAGTACAATACAAATCCATCCCACCGCCCACAACCTGACCCGACTCTCTCCACCATTCTGTGCTGTCGACCCAACCCAATACAATCTACAACACCCCGACATCACCAACAAACCATCTGCATATAAGCTGTTTCTTTGCGTCGCATTCATACCATTTTACTTTCAACACTACGCTACTTTATTGACATCTCGTCCTTTTACTGCGCGCTTCGCAACCCTTCCACGCGTCGGCTGTCGTGATAGGACGCTCCCCCGCCCATTGCATCACCCTGTGAGCGCACAGCCCCCCCGCGCGGCATCGCATCGCCACGGTGCCTGAAGGCTGACAGCCAAAGTCTGCCTCGTCTGCGTTGTTTCGCTCCGTCTTGGCTTCGTTTTGCTTGCGTTTTGCTTCTAAACTCGGAAACATCATGGATCAACAAGCTCAGGCTCATCGGGGTCGGTCGCTTTCGACTGGCCATCAACAGCCTCATATAAACCACTCTCACTCCCCGTCGCCGGCGCCCTATCAGCATAACGATCCATCCGTTGGTCTTGGTCTCACACTCGATCAGTCTGCGCAACAGTCCTACGAGTCCTTCAGCAACTCTGGTTTCCTGAGCCCTCAACAGTCGCCTTCGTTTCTTCCTCCTGTCCATCAGCAGCAGAACAACTCCTTCGGCCAGGCCAATTTATCTGACCCCGCTATTCTCGACCACAATAGCACCTCCCTGCCTTTCAACAGCCAGTCTCAGACGGCTTACTTGTCGCCCAACCTCAACGATAACGATTTCTCCCTCTTCCCGAATACCAGTGGCCAGGGCGACCAGTTTAACGCCCCCTTGTTTGACCAATCTACCTTGAACCCCAACGATATGAATACCATGGCGGCGCAAGGGCATCACTCGCCCACTCCTCCTCACTTATTCCAGCACGATGCTCAGCAGCCTGGTTCCGCTCACCAGTCACCTGCTTTTAACCAGCATCAATTCTCGTCCCCGCCCAGTCACTCGCGACACGCCTCTCTCGGCCCTGCAGATGCTCTGCTCCCAAATCAAATAGCGGACTGGAACCGACCTCAGTTCCAGGGCCACCGTCGTACACCATCTGAATACTCAGATGTCTCGTCCGTTGCTCCATCGCCCAATCTTGTTAGTACCGAGTCTTTCGAGACTGATATTGGCGGGCACTCGCCTGCTCATCGTCCTTCGGATGGCGGTTTATACCAGGAAGTGTTGAGTATTGGTAACTTTAGTCTTTCCGACCCCCAGATCGGTGGTAGTCCTGGGCACCAGGGCCGTAGTCCTTCTCATAGTCCCGCGATTAGTCCTCGCATCGTTCCTCAGCAGATGCCCGACTTGAACCAGTTGAATCAAAACAGCTTTGGCTTGGCAACTCCTCACAACCCATATGGAGTTCCTTCTACCTACCCCGATGTCAATGCGCCTGTCGAGGCTTTCCCGACCCTTCAGCCTTCAGGCGCTGATCTGTCGTCAATGGCTCCTCCTGCCATCAATATTGATTTCGCGCCCACTAATTCCAAGCAGGGTGCTTTTGATACACCCAAGTCGCGTATGGACCAAGACTCTTTGACCCCACCAGACAGAGGTATGTGAAGAATGAACATCTACTTGCTGGAGCCATCTAACACGTCTCAGGTCGTCCTAGATCCCGTCCTCGTGCCGTGACCGACCCGTTCCATCCTGGCGGCGGCTTGCTGGGTCGCCAGGGCAATGTCAACATGATGTCGTCTTCTCTAGGTGCCGACTTGTCAGCGCGTTCAGACTCCAGATCTTTGTCGCCTCTTGATAGACAAGCAGGCACTTCGCCTTCTAGGAGAAGACAGTCCACATCAGCAGTGCCCAACAACGTCATTGCTTTGAGACTGGCGGATCCCGAGTATCAGAACAACCCGGACAACGGCGCCACTAAGCGTGTTCAGAAGCACCCAGCCACTTTCCAGTGCACGCTGTGCCCCAAACGATTCACACGTGCTTATAACCTGCGCTCACACTTGAGAACCCACACCGATGAACGTCCTTTCGTATGCACAGTTTGTGGAAAGGCCTTTGCTAGACAACACGACCGCAAGCGGCACGAAAGTCTGCACTCTGGCGAGAAGAAGTTTGTGTGTAAGGGCGATCTCAAGGTCGGAGGTCAATGGGGCTGCGGTAGGAGGTTTGCTCGAGCCGATGCCCTGGGCCGTCACTTCAGATCGGAAGCGGGCCGTATCTGCATCAAGCCTTTGTTGGACGAAGAGATGATGGAGCGACAACGGCTCTGGCAAGAACAAAGAATGCAACACAACATGGCACAAAGTATGGCGGCTGCGTCTAGTATGCCCATGGATGGTCCTGTCTATCCCATGGACCCATCGGGTAACCCCATGCTCCCAGCAGCTCTTCTTGCACAGTACCCTGCGCTGGCTCAGTTGAATTGGTCAACCCCTGATGTAAATTCCGGCATGGATGATGAAGTCAGTGGCCGTTCCTCGTTTGATGCCAGTGACTACGACGAAAACGACGACGGCGGATACGTAAGTGGCCCTGGAACAGGATTTGGCGAGGGCGGCATGGGTCAAGGCTTCGGCGAGATGGGATATGCCAGTGATTTCGGTGGCCGGTAGTACGGTCTCGCTCATGAAGAGATGAATATTCCGTAACGCGATCAATGTCTTTCCTGCCCCAGCATCTACGACCTGTTTTGAGACCCTTTTCTCCCAGCAGCCTGCTTTTCTTTTTCTTCTTCCGTCTTGCCCTGTAAGCGGATTTGAACTTATTTTTTCTTGTTGTCTAGATATGACGGATATCCTAGGAGCGTTTCTAGATGGCATGTATACGGCTATTATATCATCGCAGCTGTATGTGTTGGGGTTATTATTCTTTGTTGTATACTTTGGGTTGTGGTGGTTCGGTATAGACGGTACGCATATAGATACCAATCTGAGTCTGTTTTTACACGTTTTGCTAGGGATACATAAGAGGGGGGGCATTTACTTCGAACGTGTGAACTTGTTTTGTTCGCCTTGATTATATCGAATAAACACAATGAACTGAACAGATGTAGTTATATTAGTAGTTTAACAAACACAAAGATATATGTGCTGGGATTGCGGACAAATGCAAATATATTCAAAAAAAAAAAAGATTATTTGTTGCCATTCATAGAAACAACACGTTTAACCAGTATTGACGTCTAGGTTCCGCCGTGATCAACTAACCAGCCCCTCCTGGTTAGATATGACATCGAAAGCCCTTTTCTTTGGATATCTTTATACTAAAATAGTAGTCAGGGAAATAATTGTGAATATGACTCCAAACCCAAAAGTGACCGTACCAACGCCATGTAGTAGCACCCATAACCATTTCCTTGATTCACGTCATTGAAAGCCCAGCCGTGCTTTTGTGATTTACAGTTTGTCATGAAACCATATCAGATTCGCTCCGGGATAGTCAATGCATTGGAAATGTTCCAAAGTATTCTTTGAACGTTGCGGCCATGAAATTCTCGCAAATCTCACGATGGACTGACACACATGATTCTGTGATGAAGGGCATCAGTAACGAATTGGCCTCAAGAAGAACTTGTTCATGAAGTTCAAACTCGTCTCCTTCTACCGTCGTCGTACTGCCCGACGCCGTGCTGTCCGAGCCTGCCGGTGATATTGGTCCAGTAGCTGATCGGTCGCGCTGCTGCTGGCGTACCTGCCATTGAGCTCGGACAATGACGCCTACAGGGGCTTTGGCCCTTGAACGCAGGCCATCAGGAATGACTTGGAAAATGGCTCTATATGTAATCGTTTTAGCCAGACCAGGAGCAAGGTTGACAAGCTCCTGCATCTCAAAGGCGCGAAAGGTGTCGTCAAAGGGCCCGAAGAAGGGGTCTTCCGCAGTGTCTGCCGGATTTGCTGGGACTTCTTCCAACTTTGTCACGGTTCGGTGATGAGCGACGAATGGATCAACGGCCTGCAAGGCAGCTAACACAGCGCCAGGGGGAAGAGTGCCCGGGACGGGGACTGAGATGGAGAGAAGTTGAGTTGTGCGCATTTTTGATAAGGTCGGCAGAGTGGTTTGGCGCTGTAGAGAGATTTCGAACTCCTTCCGGCTGGCGTGAGAAAAGAAGACGAGAGGGAAGTGCGATTGTGTATGGTTTCGTCAGACGATGTTAAGCAAAGGCTAACGATTAGAGGTTGTTGATATTGGTGATAGTAACAGCAATGTTGACAAGTTTATCCTGATGTAACATCCAAAGGCGTACATGATCATTGTCGATGACAGGACTGTTGATAGCTATTCCATCCGGAGTGGTGGGAGAGGGACCCAAATAGAGAGACCTCAAGAACAGCGTCGCCAGAGTTTGTTTTATCCTTCAAGATAGAGAATTGTATGGTTTGGTTGTGCAATGAGTTCTAGTATCGAAAGGAGGAAAAAGTCTAAACGGCCGAGAAGAGAAGGACCAAAGTCTGCGCCTCACAGATGCTGCTACTGCCGTTTCGATTCTTTTGGCCTTTCCTCTTGGCTTGGTTTGCTCTACGCCTCTGTTCCTTGGACCGGGAAAGCTTGTGAATCCGACGACAAGCGGAGCAGAGCGAGCGACCGGGCGAGCAAACAAGGAAGCGGATGTGCACTGCGCTTCTGATGCATGCACGAGATGAGAAGCGAATAGGCGCCCGCGCGTATCGGAAAAGGACCAGGTCAGCCAACGGGGTTATGAAGACTTAATCTTACAGCCCTCGCCTCTCTGCTTCTGGCTCTACCTGTTTGCTGTACTTGGATGAACGTCGAGGGTGTGTGAATGTGAGCGATAGGCAGAAGGATGAATAATGAAGGATTGTGTTGGATGAGTATGGTTGGGTTACGTTTTGGATTAGGTTGAGTTGAGGCTAAACTAAACGGTGGCTGATGGGATAAAAATACACTGGTATATACTGGGTATGGGCTGTACCTGCACCGTACAGTGCTACCTAACCTAGCCCTGTAGGTGGGGACGGAAGGACAGGTCCATAGTGGCTGATGGGGCACTGTTACAGTGAGTGTATGGAGACGGGAAAGGAGCCCGGTCTAGACCAACAGAACAGAAATGCTTCAAAGATCCAGACAATGGGATACCTAGCCAAGCTGAGTACTTTCAAATGTCATGGAATGGAAAAACTAGCGCCAACTTTCAGTTTAAAAATTTTCAATCACTTGTAATTGGACTCGATTTATCTTCAGTAAAGTAAAAGACAGGTGTAATGTTAAATAAAGCCTGCTAAACTACTAACCTGTGCGGGGGCAGTCTTTGTGTGATTCAATGTCTCCAGACAAGGTTAAAATACGAACGATGAACAGTTTAATTAACGTGGTCAATAAGTCGATAAGGTTAACCGTGCACTGAACCTTTATCACTCACTCATCCAGGTATTTGGAATACCTTGATACTCTTATTGTTCGCTTTTATCACTATAAGTGCCTACTGTTATGGATACGATTCCAGTTCGTGGCGACCACAGTTACATTCGCAGTCGCAGTCGCAGTTACAGTTCCCTCAGCTATGGAGGCCCGGAGGTTATCTATCGCCAGATCGAGTCGCTTGTCCGGCTCATCAGGGCTGTCTGGGAGATTCCGAGACCTGTGGAACCACCTGCCAGAACAAGAGAGCGTGCCCCGAAACGAGGAGGCCAAGACAAAGGAACTGGTTGCTGTTAAAGAAGTTATGAGCACGGCTGTTGCCATCAGCTTAAGCACTGACTCCATCCGATATACCTTAACAGCTGTGTTGTAGTGAGTTTATTAATTAATTCCCAAGACACTATGAGCTTGGACAGACTTTCTTTCTTTCTTTCTTTTTCTTCTTCTTCTTTGAAAAAATAACAAGAGTAGAATCCGTCTCGCCTCGGAAATCAAAATGTCGAGGCTAAAAAAGATCTGCTTCACTTGTGAACAAATAAAGCTAATGGCCGGCGTCAGTTTTCATATCCGAGACCAACCCCACGGCCCGATCCGGTAGGTGTCCGAGTGAGTGAAGTTACATCTGTCACTCAGTTTTCCTATGGTAAATTACATAGTGTTGACCCGCAAAGTCGTGTGAGGCTTCATCAAGCGATACAGAGACATGGAAATGCGGCCCGTCTTGCAGGTTGCAGGCTAGAACAGGTAAACTGGCGTTCTTTGCATTATACCGGCAGTCAAGGGCCAAGTCTAAGACAGTCTCCTAGGTTGCGGCAAGTTAAGTGCAGGGCTATTTCAGTCGATTTGCCTGCAGCTACCATAGTCAGGAACGAGTGATCTACGGACGAGGCTCGCATTAGATAGAATCGCATCAGTCGCCTATGCATGGCATAGCATGGCATTGCAGTGTCTCCGGTTATGACTGACTTGCTGCGGCTATTGAGGTAACAGGAACTAATTATCGACCCTCACAGTATGGGTCGTTCGCTGATCGCCGACTTCGCTGTTGCTCATCTTGGGTAGAAATCTTCAAGCAACTATCGTTGTACAATACTCAACCTTTTCTTGCTCTGTCTCTTAGGTCTGACCGCCATGGGGGCGTTGGGCTAGATGGACGAACGATTCTCTCTCTCTTTCTCTTTCTCTCGCTGCTTGTTGCGGATACATGGAATGTTTATTACTTACCAATTGCACATACAGACCTTTGGCGTATGTCCGGAATATGTGTGTGTACGCATGTATGTGCATAAAAGCGGCCCCATCAAGTGGTTCAACGGCCCACGTACGTACACGTTGCTGGTGTCGTCGTCAGTCCTGGTTCATACGAAGCAGGTGGCATCGACTGCATTGAATTTGCGGGCTTTTTTTGAACGAGGTTTCGGCGCATGGCAGTGTAGATGCGGGAAGATGGAGGCGGTGAGAGTTTTGGCGATGCCTATTCGAGTCAAGACCTGGGATGATGCACAGAGCTAAGGCGCAGGGTCTTGAAGGGTTGGAGGGGCATCGGCAGAGTTTGAAGTGAGTTGACAAGGTCCAGCGCTTTCTTTCGCCCATCAAGTCGTCCCAAGACTCACTTGGGAGTCGAGTTGTAGTTAATCCCCAGTAATCATCTGCCCTAATAGCCGGGAGCGTAATAAAAGAAGAGTTCGTATATGTACCGAGATACCTACCTACATAGTGGAAGGGTGTCCTCAGGGTGGTCAAACACCTCAGCACAAGGTGTGGTTACTGTTGATCCAAGTACAGAGTACGTTGTCTACTGCGAGTTTAAACCTCTCGATCTTTTTGTCCAACTCTAGCCTCCTTCGGGTCATTCCATACCCGCTCCCCCAATTGCCATTGTGTAGAACCTAGTGATCTCTATAATCATGTGGTTCTTAGTTTTAGTGGTCGTTGTGGGAACCAGATGCCATAACAAGTTCTTGGTAGGAAAGTTATGCAAGGCTGAGATATGGCATGGAAACCTGGAAGACGTGGGGGATGGGAACGGGAACGGATCGTTCGTTTTACCAGGGCATTCTCGAAAGCTGAGAGGAACTTGCCTTACCCTCCCGTATGAGCAGCAAAAAGAAAGATGCAGCAGAGTAGACAGACTACTCTTCCGCATATGCTCCATGGTCTCATCCTGCTTCACAGTGGCAGAGCATAGCATAACAGCATGTAGAGAAAGCCCGAGTTGTGCTAGTGAGACACATCGTGGTGCCCCTCGCCTTCACCCACGAGTCGAGGTAATGCACAGAAGAAGAAAATCTCACACCTTGTCTCAGAGTCGAGGTTGGCATTGGCCTGCCGTGGTACAGACAGACACCCCTTGTGATGTCACGGGGATCGCACCACCGGACCATCGTCTATTGCAGCCATGAGACGGAATTGATAGTGCAATACTTGACCACTCTCTGTATGAAAACTTATGAGTCGCATATCTCCTCCCCATTGCTTCACTGAAAAGAATTGGGCGCGCATAGCGGATGGCTTTAGGCATTGCGACCCTTCCTCTGCTTCAATTAGCGGAATGCGCATGTGAGATTCAGGGTGGCTGGGCTCGATACTCCATTGGGCTTCACCAACACGTACCTTGAAGGGATCTGATCCAGCCACGCGCTCACGCTGCGGCCTGACCTTGCAGACCTGTATCAATATCAACGGGCTTTTGTGTGGTTGGCTAGATTGAACTGGATCGGGTGGATCGTACGTGCATGTGCAACAACACGATAGATGATGGTGTTTATTATATACTTTACAGAGTACAGTATATACGAGGAAAATAGTTGTATTGAAAGATTCCAAACTAGAGATAGAGGTTGAGACTGAGAAAGTAAATGAGTGACCTGAAATAAGGTCGAGACTTGGAAGTATTTCCCTCTTCAAGTGATGTGGATTCTCAAGGGAGTTGTGAGAGGGTGTGGGGGACTCTACAGAGAGGGTGCACATTTGTTATGGATCGTGTGGTCTGGTGATATTGAGTGATAGTGATATGGGAACGACGACCAATATTGGCGTTTACAGTACAGACCAAATCGACTGTTATGCGTATCCGTGAATGTTCATCTCAACTCATCTAGGTACAAAATAAAATTTCTCTCAAATTCTTACAATAGTGCGTGCCCTTTCTAGACACTCCGGTTCTGGCTTGCATCTGGTGGCGGTGATATAGATTGGCACTTAGGTTGGCTTCAACGTGCAATGGACAACTGCCAACCTAAAGAGCACGTCCCCCTGCATCGATACATTATAGCGTACTCACTCCCGCTGTACGGCTATTACCTAGTACTGAGCTACCACCTATGGATATGGATCTTGTGTTGCTCCCGCGTTTGCCCGCCCGCCTTTTTGCCTGACTGGTAGACTGAATGCTTGTTAATGGGGCTGCTCCCTGTCAATTCCATCGACTCACTCTGCACATCAACCAGTCGCCTTGAAGCATTAACCAAGTACAACATCTGAGCAATTCGCCTGCCTGACGATCCAAAGGAGCAAACCTAGTGTCATTGGCCCCCCAGCTTGTTCATTCCAATTGTCTTGGCCTGAAGTGTCCAAACCGAAGGAAAGGTAGGTAGGTACCTAAGGAAGACACTGTACTTGTTATCCATGGGCGTGTGTCTCTTCCCTTCTCTCGTCCAATTGCCATTGCAAATCATTCACTTCCTCATCACCGTGAATTCTCTCCCTCCCCCTCCTTTCTTTTCATTTTACATTGACTCTTGTCTGAGTATTTGGCCTTGCCTAGTGCGGCTTCTGGTTGAGTATTTTGAGCTGAAGCTTATTTATTTTACGCAGCGCGCAGCTTAACGACAAGACCGACGACCATCCATCCAACGACTGGGGGTGGTTGGTGAAAAAGTGACAGGATAAGGACAGGACAGTCGGTCACCCAGGGTTTCGATCAATTACCCCAGGAGCTATCTTTCGACTACGCTCCTTTGAACCTACAACGTCTTGATCCTTCTTCGTCTTTCAACGAAACGACTTTTTTTCCCTCTTCACTTCTCTGCTAGCGCGTCATATCGTCACTTTCCCCAACAAGACCGACCATAACTTCCATCCTCATAACGACGTCGCATTTGATACCCTTGGAACAAACAAGACCCCTCACATTTCGCTTTCCATATTGCTCCTGTTGCGACTTACACGAAATATCTCACAATATCACCAATCCGTCTGCTACCGAACCTTAGCCACCTTCAACATTGCTCATCACTTTGGCGCCCAGGCTCACGAATCGGTACCTTGTCGCCTTTGGTCCTCGCTTGTTTTCTAGTCATAGCTTCCATGTGTGTGACGTCGCTCCGTCTTCGCACGAGCTTCGTCTTCCACAATGGCCGCAGCCCATATTCTGGCGTCCACAGACAGTTGGACAAGAAGCGCGATTGGTTTGCCAACCACGAGGTGCCAGTCAAATGCGCCGGTTGAATATTCTCTACGATGCCGATTGAGTCTTGTTGCTCGTGCTTGGGTCGTACAAACATTACAACAAGATGTATGTTATACTGTCATCCATTATATCATGAAGCTGCAATTTACATGTCGTTTTTTGTTTTTTTGTTTCCTTTCATCAATTTTCTTCCATGTTTCTCAGCAAAAAGCTTAGCAAGTTTAATGGGTGGCGTTCAACGGCCGGCCCCTCGATCGGCGCCGGCCCCAGCTTTGAGGGGGAACCCGCTGCCACCCATTCCTGTCAAGTGATCTTGCTCCGGAATCGTATCACATTTGAAAGTTTGTTCATCAATCTGTTTTATCTAACGTCATTTATTTTTCATAGGTTTCTTCAGTGCCACATCGCAAAGTGGCCGAGAGGCCGTTGATTATCCCAGATCATTCCCCACGATGGTATCGGCGCTTACCTAAATCCTGCGACGCCCCTATTTCGACAGACACCACAATGCCTATCAATGGCACCGGCCGTAACGCCAACAGGCGGCTTCCATCATGGCTCACTTCATCTCCTCTGCCGCCTTCGGATGCCCAGAAAGAGCGTCACCAACCAAACGACAAAATCATCAGCGATCCCGCTTCCGACATTCTCATCGACTTCAATTCGAGCAAAGGATTTTACGAAGCCGCGAAGAAGAGCAAGAAAGCAAAGCCTCCAACCGCTCCTCCTCCACCGCCGCCACCCCCTGCTGCTCCCCCGGCAGATGACGGCCAGAAGGATGATATGAATGGAAGTGGCGGAGGAGCGAGCGGAGGCAGTGCCGCGGGCGGCGCAGGTGATGGCGATGGCAGTAATGGTGGAAGCGCACCACCGAAGCCTCCTACGACTTTCGATAATATCAGCCTCGGAGCAAGCAAATTGGATCTCGGACTCAGCCCTCCAGAAAACAAGAGCATATCCAGCTGGGGCGCAAAATTGGGATTCGGTGGTGGTGGGTGGGGTTGGGGAGGGGGATCGAAGAATGAACCACAACCAGCACCAACGCCGCCGCCGCCAGAATCGAAGGCCGAAGATAATCCTTGGGACAAACCGAAAGGCAGCACAGGCGACTTGGGGATGAAAGATGACGATGATGCTTGGGGATTCGGAACCAAAAAGGACAAGAAACCATCAGCGCTATGGGGTGCCGAGCCCGAGGAGGAACCTAAGGAAGCTGGGGATCCTTGGGGCTGGGGTAACCAAAAGAAGAAGGGGAAGCCAGGTGGCATCTTGGAGGAACTTGCCCTCGACACTGAACCCGAAGGCCCGCCTGGTGGAAAGAAGGATATATGGGACACTTGGGGAATATCTAAAAAGGATCGGGCGAAGAAGAAAGGTATCATGGAGGAGGTTGCCTTGGCGGCTGCCCCGGATCCCCCCTCAATGGACGACCAATGGGGTGGTGGTTGGTCTGGCAAGAAGGACCAATCGCCACAGGATTCCCTTTGGGGACCCCAGGACCCAATACCTGCTGTTCCTGATCCTCCATCATTTGAGGATAAGGATGGTGATGACTTTTGGAGTACCTTCGGCTCAGGCAAAACAAAACCCGTGGAAGATAACCCAGGTGGATGGGGTTCGTGGGGAATCAGTAAGACAGGTGAGGATGAAACAAGTGAGTCAAATTTCTATAACGCTCATCGAATCCCAGAGCCGCCTAAGATAGAAGACGACGGTCGGGATCTGTGGGGAACAGGTAAGAAAAAGAAGAAAGCTGGCGACTTGATTCAATTAGAAGATGAGATTCCTCCTCCAGCCCCAGATCCCGTCGAGGCTGTTGACACCGGCGACTTCCTCGATTCTTGGGGATTTGGCAAAAAAACCAAGAAACCGGCCGCCGACCCGTTCGATTTTAAAACTTCCGACGCAAATGATCCTAACCATGCTTTTTGGGGTTCAATAGACACGAAGCCTGGCGCACACGATTTCCTTATCGATACCACCGGTAAGATAATCTATGATGATGTGGAAGTAGATGGGAAGTCAGGTTTCACGATTGAGATGACGACTGGGACTATGCCAACGTCTGATCGATGCTCTGACTGACCTTTTGTCTTCAATATCAACGCTCCCCTTTTGTTGAACTTTACTGAATAAATATACCAATTATTAGACCCGGAGCAAGCCGCCCGAGAAGCCGAGGAGCGAGCTGCTCGTGAAGCGGAGGACGCTGAAGCCGCACGCGAAGATGAGGAGATTGCGAGTCTTGTAGAAAAGAAGGCAAAAAGAGGAGGGAGACTTCTCAAGTCAGATCGCGAACGACTTGCGGTGCTCGAAGGCAACGCTGTTAGAAGATCCGAAGCTCGGGCAGCCCGGGAAGCCGAAGCCGCTGCCGCTGCTGAGGCTGCCCAAGCAGAAGCGCAAGCAGTGGTCGACGCCCAGGCAGCTGCAGAAGCCGAAGCAGCCGCTTTGCAAGCTGCGGAAGATGCTGAGGTAGCTAAGGAAAATGAAGAAATTGCGCTATTACTAGCGAAAAAGCAGAAGCGAGGAGGCAAGTTGCTTAAAAAGGACCAGGAGCGCCTGACTCTGCTTGAAGGTAATGTTTCTCGAAGAGCTGAAGCCCAGGCTGCGCGTGAGGCTGAAGCTGAAGCTGCTGCTGCTGCTGCCGATGCAGCGGCATTCGAGGTTATTAACGACATCCCTCTTGACGAGGCACCTCCTCCCGAGTCTTCTGAGCAAGACGCTGCAGCGCAAGCAGCTGCAGAAACAGAAGCAGCACTGGCCTCTGAAATAGCACATGAAGAGGCTGAAATGGAGAGTCTCAAGTTGAAGAAGGCCAAGAAAGGCAAGCTAATAAAGAAGGACCAAGAACGACTTAATATTCTCATAGATAACGCAGCAAAGCGAGTCGAACAAGCTGCAGCCAAAGAGGCAGAGGAACAGGCAGCCAAGGACGCTGAGGATGCCGCCGCGGCCGCCGCCATAGAGGCTGCTGAGGCCGAATCAGCAGCCCAAGCTGCAGCCGAGGTCGAGGCCGCAGCTCAGGCTGCATTGGATGCTGAGGCAGAAGAAGCAGCCAAGGAAGAGGAGGAAATGGCTGCTCTGAAAGCCAAAAAGGCTAAAAAGGCGAAGCTCACTAAAGTTGAAACAGCTCGCCTAATGGCTCTAGTCGGCAGCTCGGTCAAACGTGCCCAAGCAAAGTCCGCTAAAGAGGCTGAAGAAGCTGCTGCAGCGCAGGCTGTCCGTGAAGCTGAGGAGTCTGCAATCCGTGAGGCTGAGGAGAAGGCTGCTCGTGAAGCTGAAGAAGCAGCCGCTCGTGAGGCTGAGGCGGCAATCGCTGCCGAAGAAGAGAAGGAGCTTGCAGCCTTGGATGCCTTAAAAACCAAGCGAGGTGGTAATTTGATCAAAAAGAAGGACGTAGATCGTTACAACGTCCTTACCCAAAGAGTCGCCGAACGAGCAGCCAAGAACGCTGAAGCTGCTGCCGCCGAGGTTGTGCAGGCAGAAGCAACCCCTGAAATCTCAGATGAACCAACCGGACCAACCCCTGAGCCAGTACCCGAGGATCCACCAGCGGACGCTGATGCTGCACCTGTAGAACCAGAGCCTTTACCAGGACCAGATGCCACGGTTATCGCAGCGGAAGACGCAGAGCTGGCGAGTCTAGATGCGAAGAAAGCGAAGAAGGGCAAGCTTGGCAAGAAAGACACAGATCGGTATAACCTTCTCAACGAAAATGCCGTTCAGCGACAGGCCGCCAAAGAAGCCGAGGAGAATGCTGCACGAGAGGCTGCTGAAGCCGAAGCTGCAGCCGCTGACGAGGCAGCAGCACAAATCACCGAAGCTGAAGCTTTAACAGCAAGCGAAGCTGAGGCTATCCTTATTGCCGACGAAGAGGCAGAGCTGGCCACTCTTGTTGCCAAGAAGGCTAAGAAAGGGAAGCTAATCAAGAAGGATCTGGAACGATTTAACATTCTAACGGAGAATGCCGCACAACGACAAGCTTCGAGAGAGGCAGAAGAGGCAGCTGTTGCCGCCGCTGCGGAAGCTGAGGCACAGGCTGCTAAAGACGCAGAAGAAGCTGCTGCAGCAGAAGCCGCCGAAGCAGAAGTCTCAGCGGCTCGTGAAGCTGAGGCCATTGCCATTGCTGAAGAGGAAGCCGAGCTAGCTGCATTAACGACAAAGAAGGCCAAGAAGGGCAAGCTTATTAAGAGAGATGCCGAACGATTTGCAATCTTGACTGAAAATGCAGAAAGGCGAGCTCAGGAAGCAGCAATAGTCACTGAACAGCCTGAAGATTCAACGACTATACCCGAAGTAGAAGCCGAGGAAACCCCCCCAGAACCTCCAGTGGATGAGTTACCTGTTGAAGGTGATAATCCTGATGCAAATGCAACTGCTATCGCTGAAGAAGAGGCTGAGCTTGCTGCTTTGGTAGCTAAGAAAGAGAAGAAAGGTAAACTTGGGAAGAAGGATACTGACCGCTTTAATCTTCTTACTGCAAACGCAACCACTCGGGCAGAGAAAGCAGCCGAGGAGGAAGCCACTGCCGCTGCTGCCGCTGCCGAAGCTGAAGAGGCTGCCGCTGCCGAGGCCGCTGCTATAGAGGAAACCGCCGCTCGAGAGGCTGCCGAGGCGGAGGCTGCAGTTATTGCTGAGGAGGAAGCTGAACTGGCTGCCCTGGTCGCCAAGAAGAACAAGAAAGGGAAGCTTGGCAAGAAGGATAGCGATAGATTTGCTGTCCTTACTGAGAATGCTACCCAAAGAGCTGAGAAGGCTGCCGAAGCAGTCGAAGTTGAACCTGAAGCTGAACCCGAACCTGAACCCGAGCCTGAGCCTGAGCCTGAGCCTGAGGAAGAGGCTCTTCCTGAAGTTGAGGACCCTCTTGTGGATGAGTTCGATGACGCTGCTGCTTCTGAAGCTGATGATGAAGAGGCCGCCATTGCTGCTGAGGCTGCTGCTATCGCTGCTACCATCGCTGCTGAGGAGGAAGAAGAGATGCAAGCTCTTATTGCCAAGAAAAATAAGAAGGGCAAACTAGGCAAGAAGGATAGCGATCGGCTGGCCGTTCTTGCCGATAATGCTGCCCAGAGAGCTGAGAAGGCTGCTCAGGAAGAAGCTGCTGCTTTAGCTGAGTCTGAAGTCATTGAAGATCCCCCTGCATATATTGAAGAACCAGCCCCTGAAGATGCTCCAGAGGCACCGCCGGAAGAGGAAGCGCCCCCCGAAGAGCATGATGCCGCCGCCGCTGCCGAGGAACAAGAGTTGGCAGACTTAGATGCAAAGAAGGCAAGGAAAGGCAAGCTGGGTAGAAAGGATACCGATCGTTATAACGTCTTGACCGAGAATGCTACTAAACGAGCCGAGGAACAAGCTGCTAAAGAAGCCGATAAGGCTGCTGCTGCAGAGGCTGCTGCCGCCGCAGAAGCCGAAGAGATAGCTGCAAGAGAGGCCGCAGAAGCTGATGCAGCTATAGCAGCTGCAGAGGCTGAAAAGGAAGCTGCAAAAGTTGAAGCTGAAGCGGTGATTGCGCAAGAAGAAGAGGAACTAGCTGCACTCGAAGCTAAAATGGAAAGGAAGGGCAAACTAGGACGCAAGGATACTGACCGCCTGAATGTTCTTATGGACAGCAAGGCCGCTAGAGATGCCCAGGCTACCGAGGAGCAAGCTGCCCAAGAAGTTGAAGAAGCCGCTGCAAGAGAGGCTGCTGAAGCCGAGGCTGCTGCCGTTGCTGCCGAAGAAGAAGCTGAACTGGCTGCATTAACTGCTAAAAAGACAAGAAAGGGCAAGCTGGGACGTAAAGATACGGAGCGATTTGATCAGCTAGCATCAAATGCTGCCCAACGAGCCGAAGAACAAGCTGCTCGCCAAGCTGAGGCTGTTACCGAGGTGGACCCTGCCGAAGAAGAAATAGCCCCAGTAGAATTCGAAGAACCCGAAGAACCAACTCCTGACGTCGAGGAACTTGTCGAAGAGGTTCCTGAAGATCCGGCTCCCGACGTTGACGATGAAGCCGCTGCTATGGCTGCTGAAGAAGAGGCCGAGCTTGCGTCTCTTGAAGCAAAGAAGGCGCGCAAAGGAAGACTTGGGAACAAGGATACACAACGATTCAACTTTCTGACCGAGAATCTTGCGAAACGCGCCGAAGAGAAAGCCGCTAAGGAAGCTGAAGTCCAGGCAGCAGCAGCAGAAGCAGCAGCAGAAGCAGCAGCAGAAGCAGCAGCAGAAGCAGCAGCTGAGGCTGAAGCTGAGGCTGAAGAAGCTGTAGTTGAGGATGCACTAGAAGATGCTGCCGAAGACAATGATGAAGATACTGCCGCACGAGAGGCTGCCGAAGCTGAAGCCGCTGCCGAAGCCGAAGCCGCTGCTGTTGCAGCAGAAGAAGAAGCCGAATTAGCTGCGCTTGTCGCTAAGAAGACTAGAAAGGGCAAGCTCGGTAGAAAGGACACCGAGCGGTTTGATGTTCTGAACGAGAACGTAGCCAGGCGTGCGGAGGAGCAGGCTGCTAAGGAAGCCGAGGTCGAGCTCGAAGAACCAGCTTTTGAACAGACTGAAGATGCTGCCGAACCCGAGCCCGAGGAGAATCCCGGCGATGAAGACGCTGCTGCGAAAGAAGCCGCCGAGGCAGAGGCGCAAGCTATTGCTGCAGAGGCGCAAGCTATTGCTGCAGAGGCGCAAGCTATTGCTGCAGAGGAAGAGGCAGAGCTTGCTGCTTTGAACAAGAAAAAGGCAAAGAAGGGTAGGCTAGGTCGTTCAGATACAGAACGGTTCAATATCCTGATGGACAACGCAGCAAAACGTGCTGAGACGCAGGCAGCTAAGGAAGCAGCAGAGGCAGCAGAGGAGGCCCCTCCTGCTGAAGAGGAAGAGGATGACGAATTTGTCGATGCCGAAGATGAATTGGCTGAGGAGCATGAGCCTGAAGCTGAGGAAGCTGCTGAACCCGATGGAGAGGATGCCGCCGTCGCTGCCGCCGCCGCGGAGGCGGAGGCAGAGGCACAAGCTGCAGCTATTGCTGAAGAAGAGGCTGAGTTGGCATCGCTAACTAAGAAGAAGATTAAGAAGGGCAAATTGGGTCGCAAAGACACGGAAAGGTTCCAGGTTTTGACAGATAATGCCGCTAGGCGTAATGAGGAAGCCGCAGCCCGAGAAGCTGAAGAAGCCGCAGCAGCTGAGGTCGAACCAGAAGCTGAACCTGAGCCTGGACCGGAAGCTGAACTGGAAGCCGAGCCCGAAGTTGAACCCGAGCCTGAAGCCGACCAAGAGCCTGAAGATGATTCAAATGAGATCGATGAAGCCGAACAAGCCGCAATTGCTGAAGAAGAAGCAGCAGAGCTAGCAGCGTTGATTAAGAAAAAGGCCAAGAAGGGTAGACTGGGCAGGAAAGATACTGAAAGATTTGAGATCTTGACAGAAAACGCTGCTAGACGCGAAGATGAGCGAGCTGCCAAAGAAGCTGCGGCTGCTGCTGCCATTGCGGAAGCCGAATTCGAAGCTGCCGAAGAGGATCCTGAAGCCGAGGTCATTGAAGAGGCCGAAGAGCCTGCTAATGAGGAAGAGGGGGAGGATCTCGCTGAAGCTGAGGATGAAGAGGCCGCAGATCGAGAAGCTGAAGAGACCGCGATTGCCGATGCTGAAGAAGAGGAGTTAGAGTCCTTGAAAGCCAAGCGGGCAAGAAAAGGCAGGTTAGGCAGAAAGGATACAGAACGGTTCGCGGTCTTGGAAGAAAACGCGGCCCGTCGCGCTGAAGAACGTGCTGCCAAGGAAGCTGCCGCTGTGGAAGACGAACCCGACGAGCCTGTCGAAGACGATGAACCGAATGAAGATGAAGAGGAGGAAGAGGAGGAAGAGGAGGAAGAGGAGGAAGAGAAGGAAGAGGAGGAAGATGAAGACGATGCTGCCGTTGAGGAAGAAGCAGCTCGAGAGGCGGAGGAAACTGCAGCAAGAGAAGCAGAAGAAGCTGCCACTGCTGAGGCTGAAGAAGACGAGCTCGAGTCACTAAAAGCCAAAAGGGCCAGAAAAGGCAGATTAGGCAGAAAGGATACAGAACGGTTCGCGGTCTTGGAAGAAAACGCGGCTCGTCGCGTTGAGGAACGTGCTACTAGGGAGGCTGCCGCTGCTGCTGAAGCCGAGGTAGATGAAGTTGAAGAAGAAGAGGAAGAGGAAGAGGAAGAGGAGGAGGAGGAGGAGGAGGAGGAAGAAGAAGAGGACGACGACGATGACGGTGAAGAGGAAGATGATGAAGACGGTGCCGCTGATGATGATGAAGTAGCTGTTAGAGAAGCAGAGGAGGCAGCAGCTCGCGAGGCCATAGAAGCTGCAGCCAGAGATGCTGAGGCTGCCGCTATTGCTGAGGCCGAGGAAGCAGAGCTTGATTCTCTTCGGTTCAAGAAGTCAAGAAAGGGCAGGCTGGGCAGAAAGGATACAGATCGACTTAAATTTCTTGAAGACAGCGCTGCAAAGAGGGCTGAAGAGCTTGCTGCAAAGGAGGCTGCTGCTACTGCAGAAGCCGAGGTTGACAAGGCACCTGAAGAAGAGGAAGACGAAGAGGAAGACGAAGAGGAAGACGATGAAGATGCCGCTGAGGAGCCAACTGAAGTCGCAAATAACGACGTTGCTGAAGAGTCTGATCAAGAAGAGGTTGAGGCTGCCCCTGAAGAAGCCCCTGAAGAAGTTGAAGCTGAAGCGCCTATGGACGACGAGATTGTTGAAGTCATTGACTTGTCGCCAAAGAAGGACAGAAGGAGCAGAAAGAGCAGATCCCGACGCGATGCTCCTCCACCGCCAGCGGTTCCAGATCCTCCATTGACGCCTCCACCTGAGCCGAAGCAGTCTCGAAGACCAAAACTTACCCGCGAAGGGGCGCCATGGGGCAAATGGGGAGCGACTCCGCGTGAAGAACCAGACGAGTACTATCAGGAGAAGTCAAGCAGGCACAGAAGACGGGAGGAAAAGACATCATCGAAGGGGTCTTCGTCCGACAAAGTTGAGAAGAATTCTAGGACGGCTGCTCCATTCGGCAAACCATCTCTTTCACGCTCAGCTTCGACTCGCGAGAGAAGAGATGGCGTGAGCAGCAAGCGCCGTCATTCTGAAGCCGCTCGTGGAATTGTTTCACCGCCCCCTGAAGAGATGCTTGTGCACGAAGAGCCAGGCAGTCGCCGCAAATCTCGTAAACCACGATCCCGTGAGGATGATGATGCTATGATGTCTGGCGCTGCCCCTGTGCCAGAGAGATATGAGCGCCGTCACTCACAGAAGACTCGATCGCGCGAAGACGACGATGTCATCATGGTTGATCCTGACCTCGCAAATGATAGACGCGAGCGCCGCCGGTCCCATAAAACAAGATCCCGCGAAGACGAAGATATGGCCATGGCGGATGATATAATCACGCCTGGCTTGCGCGATCGTCGCCGCCGAGATAGAAAATCTCGGGACGAGGAACCTGTTATGGTGGAACCTGACGTTCCCACTGATCATGCTCTGCCACGAGGTTCAAAGAAGGGCTTTGCTGGCCTCTTCAGTGGCCTGAGAACACCCAAGAACGAGCGTCCCGACCCTCTCCGACGTCGCAGTACATACGCGACAACTGACGATGAAGCCCTGCGCACTGCGAGAATGGATGGTGACGCAGTAATCGTTGATGCCGACCGAGAAGCAAGACGGGCTGCACGCAAAGCTAAACGAGTCGATCCTGAAGAAGAAGCGCGTAGGGCCAAGGACGAGGCGCGCCGAGAGCGACGTCGACAACGTGAGAAGGGGGCGGATACTCAAAGGCAGGATCAAGACACACGCAGGGCCGAGCGTCGTGCTGCTCGACAACGTGGCGAAGAGGAAAGACGAGCTCAAGAGGAGCAGCAAGCAGAGGAGGAACTGCAGCGAGCACAAGAAGCGAAGGAAGCCCAAAGATCAGAGCGTAGGCGCTTACGTAGAGAACAAGAGGCTGCAGCTGCCGCGGAGCAAGAGGAACAAGAAGCCCGTCGAGCTGCGAGACGCGAGCGCCGGCGACCTCGACCGGTCGATCCATCCGAAGATGAGCATGAGCGTCGTCGTCGTCGAGAAGCCAAAAGAGCCGCTCGAGCTACTGATGAAGCTGAAGGTCATCAGCGAAGGCCACGACGACATGAGGAGATGCAGCAGCCAGCTTGGCCACATCTCGGAACCTCTTCGTGGGTTCAAGAGCACGTTGATGCACCGCCCCCGCCAGATCTTCCCCAAGCTGGTGATGCCAGCGGAGAACAAGACGAGGATGACGAGATGGCACGGCGTGAAGCTCGACGAGCTCAACACCGATCCAAGTATTCCGACGAGACGCCAGATGAGGCTGAAGAAAGGCGAAAGCGACGAGCAAGACGTGAAGAACGGGAACGAGGTGGTCGCCATCGCGACAGGCGATCTGAAGGTAGCGATGAACGACACCATACCCGCCGACCTTCAAACGTCGTGGATACGGCAGCGGCTCCTCGCACGAGTTGGTGGAAGAAGATCAAGAGATGATGGATGACGGGTGAACGAACGAATATTGCATGAGATTCATTTCGAGCGAGCGTGTTTCTATCTAGGTTTTTTTTTTTTTTTTTTTTTGCTCTTTGCTTCAGTATCACAACCACGTTATATACGAAATATGACACCAACATGGTCGACCGGTGTTTGGATTTGGCGTGGCTTTACTAGCGACACATGGGAACGGAGTATCGAGGATGTCTAAGCATTGGATATTGGATATGTGGACGTATGATGTAGCTGTTGGTGTATGTATTCGGTTTTTGTATTCGGTTTTGTTATCCATCTATTTATATTTAGTAGCCCAGGAGGGCTGTTGTACGACATGTATACCCAAGAAGCAGAGTAAGAATTTGGAAAAAATAGTTTGTTTATCTAAAGCGAAAAGAGCGTACTGGTGTTATGCAACATCTTAGTGCTATTGTTTTCTGTTCAAAACGTAAGAGAGAGCACAATATCGCTGTAGGCATAGAGTGCAACAAGGCTTGTGTTAAGTTTCGAAACCCATCCAATTCCCGGTTGACATCTGCCAACGCTGCCGACTTACACCAGGTTTGGACGATAATGAGGTATTGGATCGGATCATTCACTCAACATCACTTTTTACTACATAGCGTGCTGCAACGCAGATACCATGCTGTACAGTATCTACCTAACTACCTAGGTAGGTAGATACTTAGTCGGTATTTGTTTGTCTCATCCAAATTATAATTACATCCTCCCTTGTCGTCTGTCTGTTTTACTCACTCCACTCACCACCCACTAACTACCTATCTAGGTACCCAGTACATGACGCTTTTGCTGACGACACCTCAACCTTGTACAAACGCTTCCCTGTGAACAACCACGCTCAGTGAAAGCTACAACTAAATACAGCCCGACTATCACAATTGCCTCCAAGTACTTGCGCTCGCCCCGCTCATAAGTACACGCCTCCGACCAATCGATGAGGTGACGATTAGCAGATACGCAGTCAGTTGACAAACGACAAGCTGTAGCCCGACGACTTGGCTATTCTCGTCATGACTGCGCCTGGCAAAGGGTCGCGCTGGGGTGCCTTTCTCTCCTCAGCCTTTGAAGGTGTCGAGAACCGTCTTGACAACTTACTCGACGAGGAACAACAGGCCGCACAGTCATCGCAGCAATATGAACAGCAACAGGGAATGAAGGTCGCACCGCCAGCCCCATCACCGAGTCCCAAACCTACCACCCCTGGTGCGTCAACTCCTTTTGAATACTCATTTTGAAAACACCAGAGCTATTGTCGCATGCTGACTTGGCCAATAACTCCAGCTGCAGTTCCAAAGACGAATCGAGCCAATGACCGACTACAGGCCAGGCTGGCCAAAGCAATCGCATCGCGAACTTCACAGTCTTCTCCACGTAGCTCCATTGACACTGCTCGTGGCTCCGTAGACAAGGAACGGCCTGCCAGCACCGAGCCCGTTGTGTCGACACAAAGTACAGATACGCCAGAGCCAAAGCCTACAGAATACCAAAACCCGGTCGCTGAGCCGACACCCGTCGTCGTCGAGCCATCCTCTACTCATGTAGAATCACAACCAACAAACTCCAAAGATACTCTGGATACGAATCAAGGCGGACAAGATGCTAAGCAAGAAATCACGACACCAACTATAATAGAACCACAGCCCGACACAGAACCTCAAACCGTTTCGGCGCAGCAAGGCGCAGACAACACTGAAGCGCAACCACAGTCTCTAGACTATGAACCTAATGTTTCTGAAGCTACGGAGACTGTACAGACTACGGCTGCGTCCGAGGAACCACCACAAAAAGAACCAGAGTCCGGCCAAACTGACAAAACCCGGTCGGAAGAGATTCAAGAATATATCGAGCAGATCGACTCCTTGCAGGCTAAGCTACAATATCTTTCCAAGAATGCTGCAGATGCAGCTAAGCAGGCTGCAAACTCGGCCACTGCGGGTAGCACGGAACGCAAGTTGGCGGAAAAGGACGAAAAGATCGCACTCTTAATGGACGAAGGGCAAAAGCTTTCTACCTCGGAGCAGAAATTCCGCACAACTGTCCGTAAGCTGCGGCTGCAAATAGCCGAAAACGAGAAGCAGGTCAGTGAGCTTAAAAAGGACAAGGAGAAAGCCGTGATTGAAGCAGAGACCCTACGCAGTCGAATCAACAGCAAGGAAGAACAAGAGAAGAGGAATGAGGAGGTTCGGAAGGCTAGTGCCGCACTTCAAAAAGAGATCGATGCACTCAAAAGGGACAAGAAGGCCGGAGAGGAAGCCTATCGACGTTTGGAACAGGAATCTAAAACAAATGCCGAACAAGCCCTGGCCGTTCATACTGAGACCCTGAACAAGGCCCTAGATGTTGAAAAGAAACGGCAGAAGGAACTCGAAAGTAGTATCGCTACATTGCGTTCAGAAAAGGAGGCATTGGTCGAGAAGCTGCGCCTTACAGAAGTTGAGTGGCAAGAGAAGCTAGACCGGGCAGTAGAGCGCGGCCGCAATGTCGAGGAAGAACTAAAGCTGGAACTTCGAGCGGCTGAGAGTAAGCTCGAGGCCATGCGAGTAGCGGCGGAGGAGGCTTCGGCAGGATCTGGAGGTGACATCAAGTTGATACGACATATTGAAACCCTTCAGTCGCAGTATGCCTCAGCTAGTGAGAACTGGCAAGGCATTGAAACATCACTCCTGACAAAGGCGGCCAATCTTGAAAAGGAGAGAGACGAGGCGCAACGGCGAGAGTCGGAAATGCGCAAGAAGGCTCGCGACTCGGTAAGTTGAAAGTTGGGCTCGAACAGCGAAGAGTGATGGTTCTAACAACCCGTAGGCCAGCCGCTGCAAGCGTCTTGAAGATGAATTACAAGATGTTAGTCCAGCTCTTGCAACCGCTAGACAAGAGCTCGAGGTATGCCGCGAGGAACTCGCTACCCTTAGAACCCAGCACAAGAGTGCCGAAACAGCACTCGAGCAGGCCCGCAGCGACCTCGAGAAGCTCCAGCGAGCTGCCAGTAGAGAAGTGTCCGCTGAGGCTGAGCGACGACAATGGGCAGATGATGTTGCCATAAGTACACCCAAGTCTCAAAGCAGACCTGACTCTCCATTACTTTCCGTAGCCCGAACGTTCAGCTCAGACCTTATTGGTCTCCCTGTGCCAGGCAGACAGCCACGTCGGGTACCTACCCCTGGGAGCCAAACCGATAGTGCAGGCGAAGGCTTCTTCTTTGGCCGAAGAATGTCCAGTCAGCCTCCTCGGCCAAGTGCCCTGTCCACAACTGGGCCCATGATGCCCCCACCACCTCCTTTTTCACCCTTTGAGCCACCTAGCGAGTCCCCTCGCGCGGCGTCACCACCGCCAGATCGTGACGATCTCGAGGATGGCGATCCTTCTTCTCCTCGAAATATGGCGCAGGACATGATTTCAGTGTCAACGGTTGGCGCTGGTCCTTCGGTACAGCTCGTCGAGAGAATGAGTGCAGCGATTCGACGACTAGAAGCCGAGAAGGTAGCTGCCAAGGAAGAGATGGCTCGTGTGTGCAGTCAACGAGACGAGGCACGGTCTGACATTGTGAACCTCATGACGGAGTTGGAAACACAGAAGGGCGCCACAGCACGAGTCACAGAATTAGAAACAGAGGTGGAGAACATCAATTCCCGATACCAAACAACGTTGGAGATGTTGGGTGAGAAGAGCGAGCTTGTAGAGGAGCTGAAAGCTGATGTTCAGGACGTTAAGGATATGTATCGCGAATTGGTAGAGCGGACAGTGATGAAATAAGAAAAAGGTGGACTCCTTTGTTTTTTTTCTTCTTCCTCTTTTGTCTTGTTGCTTCGGCACGCAATTTGGACTTGCGCTGGTTGTAGTGTCTGTCTTGTTCTTCATTTTCCAACACTAATTCCTGACTACCCTGACATCTCGATACCCTCACGTTCAGCACCTTGCAAGATATATCGGCGAACCTGTTGACAAGAGGTTAGACACAGATTTTGATATACTACAGGAAGAAAAAGCCTGGAATACTTTGTTTTTTACATACTTCTTTGTCAGGAGCAAGATCCAGGGCCAGCTCTTCTGCGCTATTCTTGAGGGTAAAGTCTGCACCTTCTTTAAGAAGGGCGACTGCAGTGTCTCCTGGAGGGTTTTGTGAGCAGTTGCTTTATGCCTTGGGGTAACAGTGAGGCTTCAACTTACCGTGACCTTCTGCAATGGCATGATGAAGAGGAGTGTAACCCTCGTTGTCAGTAGGATTCAGCGGGCTTCTGTTTTTAAGAAGGAGGGTCACCATTGGCACAGAGCCAACAGCGGCTGCACGATGAATAGGATACTGGCCCCTGCGATCGCGAACCCGAGTAGATGCGCCGTTCTCGATCAGAATACGAGCAATGTCGAGGTTCTTCTTGGAGGCGACGAAGTGAAGGGCGGTCTGTACAATTCAACATGCATTAGATCTTGGCCCAAATGGCTTAGACTAGAAAGGTTTGGAAGCTTTACCTGGCCAGTATAATCTGCGAGGTACAGTTAGTTGCAATATCAAATACGGAGCACAAATAGGGGTCCTACTCTTGAGGTTCACGTCGGCATCTTTAGAGATGATGAGCTTTAGAACAGCTTCACTTTCGGGAACACTAGCTGAAATCATAAGAGGAGACCATCCACTTCCGTCCTTTGATTGTCAACTCTGCCTTCTGCTGTACGACGAGTGTGCCGCAGTGTACAACTTACCTGGACGTCAGCATCGAAACTGCGTTGGTTGGCTAGCAATTGGACAATTTCGAAGTTGTTGGAAGAGGCCGCCCAGTGAATAGGATACCGACCATCATTGTCCTTGCGTTGCGATAGTTTAGGATCCGACTACCAATCAAATAAATATCATGTCTCGACTGTGAACGTTTGAGTGCTGACCTTGAGCAATCCTTCAACTACAGGGACTGTGCTTGTCAGTAAGTATTGGTCAATCTTGGCCTTAGACCTGAGCGGTAACTCACCTCGCCCCTCACGAGCAGCTGTATGGAGGGGGTATTTATCTTCACTTTCCATTTTGTTGTTTCTAACAGGTAGCCAAAGAAAAGAATATTTAATGATAAAAGTTATGTGGTGTGATAAAAATCTCACTTAAAAGCATCGATAGAAAGCTTGTTCGTAGGGTAGGTATGCGCAGTGCAATACCTTACGTACACCACAGGCTCAGGCAGTCGCTGTAAGAGCAAGAGTACAGAGCTAAAGCTGTTAGCCACAAACTGTGGCGTTTCGCTTTCTGCGCCACACGCGGCAATCCAGCATTTACACGCTCCAGTCGCAACTTTTGACATCTCTAGACTTTAACAACTTTTTCCAACGAACATTCACCTTTTCCCTCGGTCGCAAGAACCACCGCACATACGTAATGGAAACACCAGAAGTACCACAAGATGCGCTGCAGCTTGGCGCACTCGCTGCGCAAAATGCCACCGTTTCGAGAACACTATACTCACACGCTCAAGCGACCAACACCAAGCGCCAGAAACTAGACGACGCGTCTGAAGATCCCATCATGAAACGGCGCTTTCGCAACGAATATGCCGATATCGAGACCCTACCGCCTTCAATCACTGCGAAACTTCCGACTAAACAACCTGGAAAGAAGACTAAAGCTGGAGCGCTGGCTCGACCTGCCATGAAGCTTCTTGAGGGCGCGCCCGGCTCAGGCAAGGCGTCTGCATCCGCAGCTAGGAACGAGAGCACACCACAGAACATGTCCCTTACGACACGGGGAACTCAGAATATGATGCAACAAAAACCCGAATGGCACGCGCCATGGAAGCTGATGAGAGTCATATCAGGACATTTAGGTTGGGTACGCAGTCTAGCCGTCGAGCCTGGAAACAAGTGGTTTGCTAGCGGTGCTGGCGACCGAACCATCAAGATCTGGGATTTGGCGACCGGCTCGTTGAAATTGACACTCACTGGGCACATCAGCACAGTACGTGGCCTTGCTGTGTCTCCCCGTCACCCGTATCTCTTCTCTTGCGGTGAAGACAAAATGGTTAAATGTTGGGATCTTGAGACAAACAAGGTTATTCGCCACTATCACGGCCATCTAAGTGGTGTTTACACCCTGGCTCTGCATCCTACACTTGATGTTCTTGTCACTGGCGGTCGAGATGGTGTTGCTCGTGTTTGGGATATGCGGACCAGGAGCAACATTCATGTCCTCTCGGGACACACTCAGACTGTCTCCGATCTTGTCTGTCAAGAGGCGGATCCTCAAGTTATTACCGGATCGCTGGACTCAACAGTACGACTTTGGGACCTCGCGGCCGGAAAGACCATGGGTGTGCTCACCCACCACAAGAAGGGTGTTCGAGCCCTGGCCACACATCCCTCGGAGTTTACATTTGCCAGTGGCAGTACCGGCAGCGTGAAGCAATGGAAGTGCCCTGAAGGAGCTTTCATGCAAAACTTTGAGGGCCATAATGCCATCATCAACACCATGAGCGTCAATGAGCAGAATGTCTTTTTCACAGGAGGTTAGTGTTGTAATTCGGGAAATGTGACCCATGAGCTAACCTTGAAACTAGGAGATAATGGATCCATGAGCTTCTGGGACTGGAAGACTGGACACCGATTTCAGTCTCTCGATACCACAGCCCAACCTGGTTCTCTCGACGCCGAGGCAGGCATTATGAGTTCAACGTTCGACCGCTCCGGACTACGTCTGATTTGCGGTGAAGCTGACAAAACAAGTATGCTCCATATCCACCTCAAATGTTAATTGTTCGCTTGCTAATGCATAGATAGTCAAAATCTGGAAGCAGGATGAGACAGCGACAGAAGAGTCGCATCCTCTCGAATGGAAGCCAACTCTGGCTCGGAGGAAATTTTAAGGCGCATAAAGTGGCATTTCAATTAATGACGTATTGTCCCGAGACGCCGCTTTGTTGGCTCTATATTACAGTTTTTTATACACCGATACCCAAGGCCTTTAAGTCCCCGTCGTCGCGGAGGGCCAATTTTACTTCATCGTCTGCAATGGAAAGGCGGAGCTTGCTCGATCGCTCGGCACGTTGAGCTTCGAGGTTAATTAGACCGGCCGCTACTAACTCGAGGGCCGCAGTGTGAATGTGTCCAGGGCGGATCATCGGGCGCTGCCCACTCGTCATTGTGCCCTTTAGACCGCTATTGAGGACTGCCGCAACGCCAGGGAGCGCTGGGGGAGGTCGAAGACTGGCCTTGTGTATCTCGTCGAGGGTCTCACCAAATGTCGTCTCGGCCAACCCCGTTCTTCGGATACGCAGCAAGAGAGCTGCCATGACGAGTTTGGACATCAGGGGGAGACTGCGAAGGTGCTGTTGAATAGGATTAGTGGTGGCCTCGTTAATGGCCCTTTTAATTGTTGCAATGGTGACGCGGCCCGAACCCTTTGATTGTGTTTGGGGGTCTCGCTTGCTTGGAGTTGTGGGATCTATAGGGGCGTCCGCCTCGGCAAGCTCGACGGCTCGTCGACAAATGTCAAGGGCTCTTCTAGCGTCACCGCTGACTGCGGCTACCTTTCGGCTAGCAAATTGAATGGCATCTGGGTCTACGATGTTCCCAGGCACTCCTTCTAATCGTGACTGGATGATTTTCATGAGCTGCTCGTGGTTGTAACCAGGGAAAGTGATGCGTGTGAGACCTATGTATGTGAGTGATGACTATATCATATATGGTGGATTTGGAGACATACCTAGACGACTGCTGATTTTGTTACTCAGCGTTCGCTCCGGAAGGTCCATAGTGTTGGCGACTGCCAGGACGATAAGACGACTGTGCCGCAGGGTAGGCCAGTTAAAGAAGTTGTACATGACAGCCTGATTCTTCGTAACCAGCTGGTCAAGCTCATCCATGAGTACTACACAAGGAGTACGGCGAGGACTAGGATTACTGAACTCCCTCTCCAAGAGATCAAGAGCTTGAGCTGGACTAGCTCGTTCCCCCTTGAGGGCCTCCCAGAGGAGAGTGTATGATTGATGAGGATCCGTAATCTTCATACCGTTGATCTCGACGAAAATGAAGTCATCGAGCTCATCAGACCCCACAGATTCCTCGAGTCTTGAGACGACCTCGCGAACTGTTGCCGTTTTCCCTGTTCCAGGCGTACCTGAAATATAAATACAATTCCCAGTACCATCCGAGATAGCAGCCTCAAGATGAGAGTATACCAGAGAAAATTCCCCTTCTCGACACGGAAGGCTGGTAGGAACTGAGGAAACATGTAGGCGAGATCGTGCTATTTGGAATGGCGAAGATTCGACTTGACTTGGCGACAATTTACGCGTTGCCAATGGTGTAAACTCAAGTCTCTTGCTTGCACTCCTAAAGTGCGCTGTTAGCAATTTATTCCGACACATCTAGATATTCAACCTACCTTTTGGCACGGGAGCCCGGTGTCACTTGACTTCTCCGAGAAGTCGGCGTCGCTGCTACGGAACCCCTTCCGGTCTTGGTCGGAGTCTGTGGGACCTGGGGAGGAAGATATGTATCATCGGTAGGTGATGGACTTCGAGCTTTACGGCGACGTCGTGTAGCCTTTGTCCCGGCCTTAATTCTATCCATCAAAGCAAAGAGGTCATCCTCGCCGCTATATATTTCCTCCCATACGAATTCGTCCGTATAGGTTGCAGTACGAGTGTTGCAACCTCTTCGGCAGACAAAGGCCTTACCATAGTCTGGGTGGCTTTTAGAAATTCGACCCTGGGGGTATCTGGAAAGGAAGGCATCGTGAGACATGATCTTGGCTTTGCCATTGACTGACGCTAGGGGGTTGATGTCCCAAGACGGGGAGAGGTAGAGTTCGTTCTAGAGAGGTGGTTAAGTTGAGCCCAGCAGTCTTACAAAACTTATGTCTTACTGGGTAGAAGTCGGTTCGTTTCTTGTCCGTGTTTCGAATCTCCCTTTCACTTGAGAACCACATGAAGTTGGCTGCTTTCTCGCCCTCTCCGTCATCCTCGACGAAATCGCAAACCAGAGCGACCCATGCTTCATTAGATCCATCGGCCTTGAGCATGAGAACATCTCCGATTCGGCACTCGAATTGGCCAATTCTGGCTCCGACGATTCTATCCCCAACCACTTTTCTTCGTTTTCTGTCACCCTGAGGCTCATCGCTCCGTTCGGCCGTTGGAGTAGAGTTATAGATCCATTCCCAGCTCGGTTCGTCGCTTGCAAGTTCGTCGTCGGATAATTCTTGGGGGGGTTGAGGTAACTGGCGTTGTGCCTTTTCTGCTGAAGCGATACATGCCATTATCTAGCCGTCGTTGAGGATTAATGCTGTCGCAGCGATGCACGCGTCGTGGGAAACGCGACGAACCTACCTTTGAAAGTAAAGAATAAGGGTGGTTGCTAGGGTGTATGCACGTACCGGGTCGTGTCAGACACCTAACCTAAAGGCCTACCTAGTATGTATGCGACCCCTTTCCACTGACATAGGTACTCATCCCCCCTTTTCAACTTTCTACACGATGTTTTGGAAGAATTTGGCTTTACTTACTTTATAATAGGAGATCCATTTTTTTCTTCTCTTTCTCAGTTGTGGCGAAATCATTCACTTATTTTGTGATGAATTATATCTAGTATTAACCACACTCTCTATATCAGACCATTATCAATACCACAATATAACCAGAATTGTGTCACTTGGGTAGAGTTTGAAAGTGCATATTCTTCAGCTTCACTTACTACCACAATTTTCTGTTGTCGAGCTATGTCAGGTCACTCTGGACCTAGAATTGAAATCGTCTTCCACCCTAATGTGCGCAGGTAGTAGGTATTGAAGCAATGGACATCGATTTATTTGCCAACTGAAAATTTCATAATATGCATATGGATTGGTTTTACCAAACAACAACACTTTTGTTGACAAGCCCAACCAACCGAGTTTTTGTTTATTGATACGCATGCATCTCAAAGTCTCTGGGAAGGCAGTCTGGTGAGAATCTGAGCGGGTGAGAACTGTTGCCATTGCAAGCTACATGGTATTACTCTACATATCCCAAGTAAACTAGGTGTTTGTTCAGCCCATACGCCCAAAAGTGTGGTAGTTGGGCTCCTTTTTGTGTTTTTATTTCTGCAATACCTAGACGAAATAAGAAGTGAAGCGGTTGGGTTGGAGCGGGAACTCTTCAAATAGGAAAGCAAGTACCCGAAAGCAGTGCAAGTGCCATGCAGATGGCAGACGGAAAGATTTCCTACTAATGCACCTGCCCTCCAAGCACATTTTGAGGCAGAAACTGGCTGTGATTCACTGCCATATCATGCTCCTACCCATCCTCCCTTCTTGGTGCCTGTTCTTTCCATCTTCCCTTCGCAGCCTTTGGAGTCCGAACAATCGACAACGGTTTCATCAAGACTAATCTCAGAGGTAAACACAACGGGCCTCCTTTGACATGCACTTCTGACATACACAGAGTATCGTACCTAACTCTAGGTACTGCATCATGCATCGAGGAAGAGGGAGAGGAGGAGGCAAACATGGTAGAGGAAACATTCCTCTCCTAGCCGGACCTCCCAGAACTGCAAAGTTCGCGTCGACCAAAAATGACCATTTGCCGACGAGCAAATCCATGAGACAGGATAGGGAGGAGAAAATTCGACAGGCCGAGGATTCAGAGTATCTTGATCGTCCACCGGCCGACAAAGATCTGATCCAGGTAGAATTAGAGTACAGGCCTCACTTCAAGCAACCGACATTGACATGGTGCTTTAGGTAACGCACGTACTCACAAGCAAAGCACTCCCCAGTGGGCTTGAAGACTCACGGGTATTCAACGACATCCGAAGGCAGTACCAGGTCTATATCACCCGCGATGTACCCAACATACTCGACATTCGTTGCGAATCCATGGTCCGTCTCCAAAAAGCACTTGAAGCAATCAACTGGGCAATCCGTGATATGCGTTTATCTCAAGGCACTCCCGATGTTTGTTTCCTTTCTCAGAAACCCAACGATGCTCAAATTAACGACATGATACGGGTTGGACTTGGCATTCGCTTTTCCTTTCTCTCACCAAGTCCCAAACTTGTCAGTGATACAACTGCAATGGACCACCATTTGCCGCAGTTAGCTTCAGATGTTGCCTCTTTATCAGAAGGCCTCATGGCCCTCAACAAAACCATGGGGCTACGTGTCAACTTTGGACTCCTGGCCCCTATCAAGCGAAAGAAGGGTACCCAAGAGGAGTCCACTTATGCCGACTTCGTCAAACTCATGCAAGGCTATTCTCGACGTGGAGGCGCCATATTCTATTCTAGGTGAGGTGGCTTGAAAACTCAGACGTTATCCAATATACCTAACTTAAAACCAGAATTAAAGATGATGGAAAACCGGAGCAACTCATGCGTTTCCTTATGCAGCCCGAAGAGGCAATTTGCAGCGACGTAAACGACATGAAGCAAGGCTGCGAAGTGGTTGTCAAAGCTGACGGGCTGGACATCAAGGCCGAAGGAGACTACACCTCCGGGAAAGGTGTGCAGCTTGCCATGGTCCGAGCTACTAGGCAAGAGCAATCCCCCCTTTTAAACTGGATGGTCGCTGCCCCTGACATGTATGTTACCTGAGAAATGGCTGGGGGTGAATTACTGACATTTGTTTTACAGGCAGTACGATTGGAGCTTTCGAATCGATGCTTGGGACCAAGTTGAAGTGCCACCCGAGTTTGAGGGTTTGGCGAAGAAGGTATCAATCAGCCTCAATCCAGATGATGACAGCTTTCTCCCAATTCCAAACGTCAATACCGCCAAACTTGCGAGTTTGGGCGAGCAGATCACTGAGATTTATACAAGATCTTGGGCAACAGTCCCGTTCAAAGAGTCTAGCTATGCGATCAAAATCGATGTCACCAAGAAATTGAAGGGACTTCAAGATGATGAGCCTGAAGTCACTTGGGGTATCGAACTGTACGCTCCTCACTGGGAAGAAAGTGTGAATTACGCTAGGGGAGGACGAAAAGATTGGGGGAAAGAACTCGAGAATATTTGGACGAAGGGTAATGATCTCAAGTCGAGGCTCGGATGCTTCATGCGGACCATATTAGAGGTCCAAGCCCTTCTGAACAGAGCTGATGCCAGTGCTGGTGCCGTCTCACCGTAGTGAGCACGCAAAGGCGACGCTGTATCGACTGGGATGTTTCCGTGGGCCTGTCTATTTTGTTCTTCTGCAGAATCCAGGAGGATAGTATCATTGACTTATTTTCGCCTAGGCCTGTTGTTCATCCTGTCCTTGACTAGCCATAATCTTTTGTCTCAGGACTGAGTCAAGCCTGCGTTAGCTGTGTGTTGACTAAAAGAAAGAAGATATGCGTATCATAGACCTACCTTCTTCAATCGTTCGTGCATTTGTCTGCTTTCTTTGCACGATGACCTCGAGATCTTTCAGATTGACCCCAAGCTCCTCGACCTTGGACTCGTAAAACTTTTCAGCGGACTTGAGTTTCTATATTACGGTCGGTGAGTGAGCGCGCTATCAAAGTCGCGGATTGCGCACCTTTTCAATCAAGAAACCAGTACCTATGTCGACCAGCACAGTATCGGCATCTGATAACTCCCCACGGACATATAGTGAATTGGTCAGGGGAACAAGTACAGAGTTGGCTCCTGGAATGTGTTAGTGGTCGTTGTCGTGGGTGTCAAGCGCTAGACGAGGAAATCGATGGGATAGGAACATGTTGCACCTTCAGGAGCATCGGACCTGCTCTTAACGCATCGGAGGCAATCTTTGAACTTGTTCTGGGCGGCGTGAAGTTGCGCAAACGACGTGGTCAGATGTTCGAGCTCTTCATCGAGTTGCTTCTTTACTTGAGCGAGCTGCTGGGGCTCCAGGGTATCAAGATTGACTACGGTGCGGACAAGTCAGTGACCGAGTGTGTTGGATGGAGTCAAGTAATAGGAACTTACTTTGTTCTTGTTTTCCAGACATTTTGTTGTGTTATCGATCGATTTGGTACAGGTCGTTGTTGAAGTCGTAAATTGATTGCTCGTTTGGATGCCCCTCCATGGTCTCGCTTCGTAAATATTATGACGTGGGGTTGTTGAATTCTACTAACGGGGGTGCAATACACCACTGTTTATGGTACAATAGGCACTGAGGTAGTAACCAGGCATACAAAGGGATTTGCACAATTCGCAAATTCACGTTTGTCCGCATCAGTTTAACATTGAAATTCACCTGGCTTCGGCCTGTAAAACACTCTTTACTGTATTTAAATAACGCCTCTCGCATAGTATACATTTGCCTATAGCCTCAGTAATGATACAATAATCTACATCCAGCAGCTCATAGCTTGTCCAACAGACTCGAGATGAATTCGGGCAATGCATCAACCTTGACATTATCTCTAACTGACAGTCGTCGACACTGGACCTCGCAGATACCATTTTCCTTGAAAGATTTGCCCAGGATCACCAAAACGGGATATCCCACCATGTCGGCATCTTTCATCTTCCAACCAAATGATCGGTTGCGATCATCGAGGACAACGTCAAAGCCAGACTGTGACCCATTATTCTTGGAAAGAGTGTCGTAGATGACCAAAGGTTCGTCAGCCAATTTAGTTGACGGTATGATCGCAACCTCGAAAGGAGCGATAGCGCGAGGCCAGTTCAGTCCTCGCTCATCGGCAAGAATTTCAGCTACAGCGCCAAAGATCCTGGAAACGCCAACGCCGTGGCAGCCCATTTGAACGGGCACACGGCTCCCTGGTGTCAGGCCCTCTTTCAAAGCCGCCTCGGGCAGCCCTGATCGTGGAAGATCAACACAGGCGTCAAGAGGCACCGAATAACGAGTGCCTAGTTGAAAAGTATGGCCACATTCCAATGCCCTATGAATTTTCAGAGTACCATTGTCGCATCGGGGACAACCATCACCATCAGCAATAGGAACTAGGTTCAATCCCGCACCAGTGTCTGAGCCTACAATCGTCGAAGAGCTCACTCCGTGACACTTGAGAGGTTCGGTCAATAATGGCAACTCGTTTCGGACACTTTCGAAGCTTGAAACAAGGTTGCCATCGATGACATTGACCATCTGAACGTCGCCACTCTTCAATGATTCTCCCCATAATGATAGTGGATTCTCAATGGTAGTATCCAGTTCTGGGACTACTGATTTGATAGTATGAAGGCTTGGGCCGTTATCAGAAGAACCTTCAGACGGCTGAGGATACCATGCATTGACAAGGGTTTTTCGGTCTTTGGAAATGCCTCGCCAAACACGGAATTGGGATGCTGGAACACTCGCTGCACTGTCTGTGGGAAGAGGTATTCGTGCAGTAGCAACCTCATCGTTAGCAGTGTAATCACAAGAATCGCAGCTGACAACGGAATCTTCGCCAACAACACTAGGGAGGTGGTACTCGTGGCTGAGATCACCACCCATGTCACCAGAGCTTGCCTCAGCGATGAGGTATGGTAGTTTGAGTTCGGCAAAGAAGGCGCGGTAGGCCGCAGAAACTTGACAGTAGGTCTCAACAGCTTCGCTTGTAGTAAGATCAAACGTATAGAGATCTTTCATAAGGAATTCCCGAGAACGGAGTAAGCCATGGCGTGGACGGCGCTCATCGCGATATTTTCGAGCTACGACCAGTTAGCAGGCCAGCATTGGCGCTGATCACAGGCATACAGACTTATTTGATATAGCCTGATGGGCAAGTCTTTGTACGAGTTGACGATTCCAGCAACAAGTGTTGTGATTTCCTCCTCATGAGTGGGAGACAGGATTAATGGAGTGTCTTTACGATCTTTGAGTCGAAAGAGCTGAGCAGCCAAGTCAGTCTATGTCTCTTGGGGGATACCTCCAATTCTTACTTCGGGGGCAACAGAGTCCAGACGATTACTCCTTCGCCAAAGGTCCTCTGATGAAATAGTTGACAGTGACAAGCGAGATGCGCCTGTGTGAATAGTTTAGTAGTGTATGCCAAGTCGATAACAATGCACGAACCAACTGAGTGCATATGCTTGTCGATCAACTTTTCGATCTTGTCCTGGACTCGAAGACCTAGAGGAAGTAGTTGAAAGATGCCAGAGTGAGCCTGCCGGTAGACGTATCAGTGTCCGCTTGATATGACAGCATGGTTGAAAATACTTGACGAAGAAAACCACCCCGAATGAGCTTTCCATGACCGACTACAACTCAATTAGCTCATATGAAGTGTAAAAGCATGATCAAAAGCCTTCTAACACTCATTGTCGTTGGCAGCGAGGCCACCAGTTGGCACCCATGTTGTTGAGAGGGTGGAGCGAGTTGAGACGGCTTGAGCTATGCTTGAGATAGAGAAGGCTCGCAACTGCACACCTAGAGACCTCCTATAGACATCTTTGCCACTTGTCCGGGTGAGGCCTAAGAGTACCATGATTTCAAGATTTGACGGCCAATAATCGACCTAATTAAGCGATCATAATGGATTCAAGACCCTGTTTGATAGATTCCCATGTTCTGTTCGGGAGGGCTCCCGCTTGACTGACACCAGTTGAGCTTAGTCATCGCCCAAGAGCCTGTACTCTATACTATAAGTGGTTCTCAACTAGCGCCCGTGACGCGCTGTACGCCCGGAAGAGTGGAGGTGGGGCACTGAGAAAAATGCGCCGCCCAAAGGAAAAAAAAAAAGTTCGAGGTCCCTGAAGCGCGCATCTGCATTTCAGAATCAAGAATTGGGAATTTATATTCGAGGTTCTCGACCCCCAAAGGAAACTTGCACGATGGCGAAACCTATAAAGAAAGGAAAAGGGCCTCGCAGCTCATCAAAAGGCCCGAATCTCGACAAGAATGCCTTGGAGAACCTGACTTCCGCTCTTGACAAGAAGCTAGGAAAGCGAAAACAGCCTCCCACCAAGGCTGCTGGCGACCAGCACCAAAAGAGACAACGAAATACCGACAACGCAGCCGGCGACAAGAAGAGTGGGAAAATTGACGAGAAGACTCTCTTGGAAGAGATCAAGGCGCTCGGCGGCGACGAGAGTGATCTGGCGCTCATCCAGGGTATCGACTCTGACGATGAGGAAGATGCCAAAAACTCAAAGGATTCCAAGGCTGTCGACAAGGGCTTGAAGGATGAACTTGCTGCCTTCTCCAAGCAGCTTGGCTTTGCCGAAGTTGAGATGAGCGAGGCAAGCGACGAAGAAGAAGTTGACGAGGAAAGCGAGGGCGAGGGCGAAGAGGATGATCTCGAAGATGTCGACGACGAGGAGGACGAGGCTCCCAAGGAAACCGCGCAGAAGAAGGGCAATATGGTAGGTTCGGTTTGTCTCAGAGTGACTTTTCTGACCACTAACAGTAATATAGGCCTTCGAGCCCAGAGCAGACTGGCATTCTGCCGAGCTGCGCAAATTGCCTACCCCGACCACTGATGAGCCAAACCCTCCCCGATTCGCCTTTGATGCCTTGAAGGAGCATGCGCAGACACTTCTGACAAATGACGCTACCAATTACGAAACCAGTGTCTTTGCGAAGTCTTCTCACAAGTTCTTGTCCACAATCATGTCCAGTGGTACTCTCAGTGATAAGGTCTCGGCACTCACTCTTGCCGTTCAGGAATCTCCAGTCCACAACACCCGAGCTTTCGATGCTCTCATGAGCTTGGCCTCCAAGAAGAAGGGTCGAGGACAAGCACTAAGTGCTATTGGGGCTCTGGTCGATTTGCTCGGTCCCGGTTCATTACTGCCTTCCGATCGTCGCCTTCGAGCTTTCCACGACCAGCCAGGCCTCATTGGTACTTTGCAGCGAAGCCCTGGAAAGCCCTGGGCTCCTGGTAACGCACTACCTGGAAAGATTACACCCGCTCATCTGATTGTCTGGGCTTATGAAGATTGGCTGAAGGCGACTTACTTCAAGCTCATTCAGGTCCTCGAACAGCTATGCTTAGACGAGATTGAGTATTCGCGAACTCGAGCACTTGACTTTGTTTATGGACTTCTTAAAGATAAGCCAGAACAAGAATCCAATCTTCTCCGATTGTTGGTGAACAAACTAGGTGATCGAGACCGTAAAATCTCCTCGCGAGCATCATACCTGCTTCTTCAGCTGCAAAACTCGCACCCTGGTATGAAGCCAATTATTGTCCGAATGATAGAACAGCAGATTCTGCTGCACCCATCCCAGGACCACCGATCAAAGTACTACGCCATCAATACTCTTAACCAGACGATTCTTAGCAGCAAGGAGCCCGCCGTGGCTGAGGCTCTCATGCGAATCTACTTCGATCTCTTCACAATCATTCTGAAGACTGGATCTCTAGGTATCAGTGCACCTACCGACTCGAAGCCGGTCAAAGAGAAGGTTGAAGAGAAGGACCCGAATGATAATAGACATCCTAGTAGACGACCTCCAAGGCCCCGAAGTGGCAAGCCCGCAAAGCCCGCTGCTTCAGAGCCAGAAACCGAGGCTGCCGACAAGCTTGTGTCTGCTATTCTGACTGGTGTCAACCGTGCAGCTCCCTTCATGGTGGGCAATGATACTGTGTAAGTGATAATACTCCTTCAAAATTCTCTTCGGCATGATAATAACATTGTTCGATAGCATGGAATCTCATCTTGACACCCTCTTCAAGATTGCTCACTCTGGCAACTTCAACACAGGCATTCAGGCTCTTCTCCTGATCCAGCAAATATCCTCTTCGCGAAGTATCGCAAACGACAGGTTCTACAGAACGCTATACGAGTCTCTGTTAGACCCTCGGCTAGTCAACTCGTCCAAGCAGGCGCTCTACTTGAACCTCCTTTTACGTGCGCTGAAGAACGACGTAGACAGCCGCCGGGTCAAGGCATTTGCCAAGCGAATCCTTCAGATTACTGGTCTTCACCAGCCTTCATTCACATGTGGACTACTCTACGTTGTTGACCATTTGCGCGAGACTTTCCCCGATATGTCAACACTGATGGATGAGCCGGAGGAGGGCGATGATGCCATGGATGAGAAGCAAAAATACGATGGACGAAAGCGAGACCCCGAGTACAGCAACGCCAACCGAAGTTGCTTGTGGGAGGTGGTGAGTTCGGACAGTTGGAAACCGAGAATAGAGACGGAAATGCTAATGATTATCAGATTCCCCTTCAAGGCCACTATCATCCTTCAGTTACAGTTTACGCAGCGGCCATATTGGAGCGAAACAAGAAGTCACTGAAGCCGGATCTAGACAGCCACTCGCTCATTCGATTCTTGGACAAGTTTGTTTACCGAAACGCCAAGTCTACTGACTCATCCAAGGGTGTGTCTATCATGCAGCCTCTCCGAGTTGCCAAGGATGTTGGCGACATCTGGCTGGGCAGCCGCGCAGCCGGAGGAGCCACGACTGCTGTCAACTCTTCTGCTTTCTGGAAGAAGAAGGCTGATGAAGTTGCTGCTGAGGATGTCTTCTTCCACGAGTACTTCCAACAGATTGACAAGGAAGGCAAGGAGACCAAGAAGAAGGCCAAGGCTGGCATGGATGTTGGATCCGATGATGAGCAAGAGGATGAGGTTTGGAAGGCACTTGTATCAACCCAACCTGGTGTTGATCCTGATGATGATGGCTCTGATGTTGGCTTCGATCTGGATGATGAGGATATGGCCTCGGATGATGACGAGTCACCAGCGATGTCGCTGGATGGCGAGCTGGATGAGGATGATGACGACATGAGCGTAGATATCGAGGGATCTGATGAGGAGATGGGCGGCGCCCTGATCAGTGAGGATGAAGAAGGATTTGAAGTTAAGGAGGCACCGAGCGAGAAGCCCAAGTCCAAGCGCAGGAAGCTCAAGGATCTTCCTATGTTCGCCTCGGTCGACGATTATGCGGAGCTCTTGGCTGGAGAGGAGGACATGTAGGCAGGTTGGCCGAAGATGGTATGGGCAGAGCATTTGTTTTGATAAATATGACTGTACTAGACACACATTGGTTCAGGAGTCAAAAAGGCAAATTGGCAGATACGCTGTTTGGCAAAGTATTATGCCACTCGCAAACAAAATTCTCGTTATTATTCTAATTAGGTATCAAACCACTCCAGCTCATCGTTCTTGGTAAAGATGGCTCTGTACGTCTTTCCGCCGCTGGAATCATCGCGCTCTTCAGTGTGAATGGAATGAAGCTTTGGGGGCTCATCGCCGCCGCCAATAAAGACGCGGAAATGAATGTAAGCTGGACCTGAAGGGTCAGGCATGGCAGGGATTCGAAGCTTTCCAAAGAGATGGACTCCATAGGCTGAAGTAGCAACACGGACGGACTCGAAATCGTCGGCACTGAAACCAACCAGATCATGATCTGACAGATGTTCCTAGATATCTTGTCAATTGCTTGCAGTAGGAGAACAATAAATATGAATAGCTTACAACTGCAGCAAAGTATTCTGGTTCGTGTTCTAATGTAAATCGTTAGCTTGACTTGTACTGCACAATTATCAATCCTGAATACGTACTGTTGTAGTCGTGTCGGAGGTGAACCAGCTTCTTCTTCAGCTCTGGCAGGATTTCCTGAAAGGCAATAATGGCATCATCCTTGGGAGGGTGGGCAGAGCCCAGATCGACGGTTTCAGCGGTGGCCTGTACAGCATGTTAATACGGGCTCATGGTTGCTTTGTTTGCCGTACCATTGTGAGTTGTTTGTGATTATAGTTGATTAGTGAGTCAAAGTTATTGAAGCTACAAGAAGAGCAATCCAACCGTTTAAATACCATTCAGTATAAACCAACATGAGACAGGGCAATACGGGCATAAAGCACATATGTCGTCAGCGGCCTCTGATGGGCCTGTAGAGACACAGATCAAGTCTCACAGCCCTTGTTGAGCCATTCTGGTTGGACGACGTCCACGTCACAGGTACGGGGAATCCTAGCACTCAGTATATCCATGGCATCTTCAGTTGATTATCAAGGTCATCTGCACTTGGCGCATGTACAGTACTGACAGTTTAACAGTAAAACGGTTTGTGGCTGAAGCGCCGTTTAATTACATTAACACCGAGGTCGACCTCCTATCCGAGGCAAAGCGGGATCGCCGATAACTTTAGTTTACCTTTTAAATCTTATCAAAAGCCGGGGGCATCGCAACAACGACTTTTTTCTTCCTTTTCCTCTGATTCCCTTTCCGCTTTTTTTCTTCTTTGTTTGTACATTTCGATATTCACCACACCACACTTGATCATGTTTTCTCAACAAGCTGGTCGTAGCGGGCGTATTGCAGCGCAATCCTTCAAACGGTTTGCCCGCTCTACACCGTCCCGTGGTTATGCGACAGGAGGTATGTGCCCCTCTTCACTGCTCAAAAGCACTTACACTCGCAAGCAATGGTATGCTGACAAAACGGGGTTATAGCAGCTTCAGCAGCAGCTGGCAGTGCTTTCAGGAGAGCAGCTGGCATGCTGGTTGCCGGCGTGGGCGCAACCACAGCTGGCGGTGTCGGAACCTGGTATACAATGCACTCGAACGGCATGGGCTTTCACTCCGACGAAGAGAGCCTTCGACGCTTCGTCGCTAACCACGAGGAAGCAAAAATGGTGGAGGAGACCATCAACAACCACCCTCTGATCGCAGAGCTTCGCGCGAACCCCGAACTCACCGAATCACGACCACATATGAAGATGCCCGGATCGTACCGAAGTCGGAGTTTGACTGGCGGAGCGCTCATTGGCGAAGGAAAGATGCCAGTGCCACCTTATGCGTGGGTTGCGCCAGAGGGCAAACAGCTCGTGTCGGTGGCATACGTTGGAGAAGATTTGTGCGGCCATCCTGGTATCGTGCACGGCGGTTTCTTAGCGACGATGCTGGATGAGGGTCTTGGACGCTGCTCTTTTGGTGCCCTTCCTCATAACATTGCTGTGACAGCAAACCTGAACGTTGATTACCGCAAGCCGACACCAGCGGGAAGCTTCTTGGTTCTGCGGGCAGAGACCTACAAGGTGGAAGGTCGCAAGGCCTGGGTTAGAGGACATATCGAATTGCTGGCCAACCCTGGAGAGAAGCCAACGATAGTGGCCGAGGCGCAAGCGCTCTTTATCTCACCCAAATATGCTGCGGTAAGTGATATACGTCTTTTGATATCGTCTGAGAACCATATCCTAATCCAGTCTCATAGGTGATGCCTAAAATTGGTTAAGATGAGATTAGAATAGATGATTCCCAATGATGACCTTTTAGAGCAAGCGAGTGACGGATATAAGTTAGCGGGTTAGAGCTATGGTGTTTATTCATATAGAGCGCTTGGTGTTGATAGGCAGAGTGATAGATGATGTGGCTTCACAAGAACGATTTGTAATAACAGAGGGCATGGCTATGCTTTTACGGTTCGTTGATAGACAGTCTAAGTATAAATGCATGTCGATGAGCCTACATCTCACATTTCCTAGAAAAGTTGCCCGCTGGAACTGCAATAAATAAATTTAGTCAGTCTATGCTATTGAGACTGGACCTTTCGTTATTTATTTTTATCTAAAGTTCAAGGGTTACTACCAAAGAAACATAGGAAGAGGGAGAAAAAAGAAGTAAAAGTATTAATACCAAGACAATCACGTCTATCTTTTCTGTCTTGGGTGTAAATGGGGTAATGTTCTTGCAGATTCTACAGTAGGAGCAGGTCACTTTATTTAAGGCCGACTTCCGGTGCGTGGGACAGAGACCGTGGAGAAGCCGGGGCCTACACCAGGAACTAGCAGCTGCGCAACGAATCAGCTCGCATAGAAAGAAGGTCTCTGATGTCGCCATCTCGGGGCAGGATCATTCATAGGTTGATGGTGCCAAACTGGAGTACCTATCGGGGAGTCTGTCGCAAAATCTACTACCGACCGATGGTCCGATCACGACATCACACGGCGTTGTTACGGGACTGGAAAACTGCTGCAGGGAACCAAGGTATGAGTTTTTATCTCTCATGCCGTGGGGAAGTTGTAGTTTAGTTGGTCTTGGTAGATGCCCAATTATTTGCTACTTCCAGATACATCCTATCCTCTTATACAAGATTTTCCTCTTCTCTTTCTTCATCTTCTAACGATATTGTTTTTATTTATATACACAATGGCTACGTAAGTTTATCTCTCGTTCTTGTCTCTACAAGTTAAATTAATATGGAAGCATTCACTACCCCTCCAAGCCTTCAACACCCATTTGTCCCCTCCAAAGAATCATTATTACCCCGCCATCATTTAGACATCCCACCTGTGTAAACATCACCAAATTTACTAACAATGTATTGTACAGCAACATTACCTGGCACCCTTCTCTATCGCGCAAGGAGCGCAACGAGACCCGCGGTCAGCGCGGTCTCACCATCTGGCTGACCGGTCTCTCTGCCTCTGGCAAGTCCACCGTCGCCACTGCTCTCGAGCAGCACCTTCTTCACCTGGGCGTCGCCGCCTACCGTCTCGATGGCGACAACGTCCGCTTCGGCCTCAACAAGGATCTTGGCTTCTCCGAGGCCGACCGAAACGAAAACATTCGTCGCATCTCCGAGGTTGCTAAGCTGTTTGCCGATTCTTCCACCATCGCCATCACCTCCTTCATCTCTCCCTACCGAGCAGATCGCAAGGTCGCTCGTGAGCTACACGAGCAGGCTACTCAAGGTGGTGACGAGCCTATCCCCTTCGTCGAGGTCTACGTCGATGTGCCCCTCGAGGTTGCTGAGCAGCGCGACCCCAAGGGTCTCTACAAGAAGGCTCGTGCTGGTGAAATCAAGGATTTCACTGGCATCTCTGCTCCTTATGAGGAGCCTGAGAAGGCTGAGATTACCATCAAGACTCATGAAAACTCTGTCGAGGAGTGTGTAGCTCAGATCGTCGAGTGGCTCAACGAGAAGGGTTACCTCAACAAGAAATAAATATGTAAATGATGATTGTGTTTTGCGTTTCAACAAGATAGATAGGGTATTAATGTCATGTCGACTACGGACGTCGTCACATGCAGGCATGATCAAAGCGTCGAGTACAGGTGTCTCTTCATGCATGCGAATCGTTCTATCGTTCTGCCTCCCAGTTTGCTTTCCTCCTCGTCCCGGTTCTACCTGTGAAGGTCGCTAAGGAAACTCAATCTCGTAATATACGTATGCCGTGTATTCGTGGCCCTCTCCGGTCTGGAAACCAGCCGCCGCCATCTCTGAACTCAGCGCAGCGTCGTCCTTGGTAATCTTTCCGCGCTTATCTCTGCCGAAAGCGTTGCCGCCGAGGTACGAGTAGTTGGAGTCAAGGGCTGTCTTGACCTTGGGGGCCAGCTTGGATGTCGTCTGTAACTTTGATTAGTGATGATCTGGGCTCACTGGATTGGATCACTCACCTTGACCAGTGCTGTCACGTAATCCAAAGGCAGTCCGTATCGTAGGACTGCTTCGACAAAGACTCGCAGGGTCATAACATGGATCCAGATCATGACACTCTCGCTCCATCCTGTGCGTCCCATGCGCAATGCCTCTCCACAGACCTTGCGCTCCTCGTTGGTCACTCGATCGAGCTCCCTTTGCTCTTCTTGTCGACCACCTTCAACATACTTGAACTGACGAGGCGTCCACTTCTGCTCTCGGCACTTGGCAAGGAACTCGGCACTGTGTTTCTTAAACGTCGCAACTGCGTAGAGGACAAACTCGTCATCTTTGGCGACTTCAACAGCCGAACGAGGAACGACCATGGGGGCTAATGTCTCATAGCCCTTAAGGAAGTCCTTCTTCGCGTTTCCAGGGACAACGATAAGGTGCGTCTCTATATATTCAGAATCCTGAATAAGGAGGGCAGGATCAACAATTGGGGTCAGGGATTTCGTAGAAAGGTTACCACTATATTCGAGATGTCAACAATACAAGCCAGCGTAATGCTCTGGGGACAGCAAGTACTTACGTCTGGCGCCTCTGTAGCGCTGCAAGATTTGTCTTGACCGTGTTGTACTGATTGAATTTTGTTTTCACGTCGGTATCAACATTGGCAAGCTCCTAATAATGTGTGTTAGTCGAAGCGCGAGGGGTAGACAGTAGAATAGCATGCCTTTTGCAGGGTGCTGATGAGCTCTGCGAGAGACTTGTCGGCTCGGTATCGAATCTTGTTCCAGCTGAACGTGCTCACATACTGATCGGTCGGCTCTGTTGTGAGTTATTAGCAGCTAGCCCGTCTCATACAATGCGTGCGACTAACTATCATTGACCATTTTGTACTGGGCGATGCGGTCCTCGTCGCCTTCGAGCACGTTCTTTAGAGAGTCGGCGACCTTGGAAACAACAGCCTCGCATGAAGCCTCAAGCTTCGTGAGCTCGTCCGCCTGTTGTACGAGAGCGTCAAGGGTGCCGATCTTGAAATCGGGAATGTTGAACGGTAGGACGGAGCCATTGTCGTTGGAAATGGTGCCGCGCAGAGAGGAGACGGCATCATCGCGGTTGCTCGAGTCGAAGACGCCTTGCGGCAAAGATAAGAAAGCGTACTTTGTCGACATGGTTACGAGTTGACGCAAAGAAGCTGGATAGGATCGGCTATGTCGGGATTGTTGAGGTAGTCTATTGAAACGGGCTGCGGAGTAGATCGGGAGTAACGCCAACAGAGGACTTGGACAGCTCCAACTCGGTGAGAGCTTTGACGTTTGATGGCGGCTGAAATTCACAGGCTCATTCATCTACAAGCAGCGCTTGATGATATCTACGCTGTTGAAAGAAATTAAGATGATGTCGGCCCGTATTGTCTCGTGTGTGGTGTATAGGTAGATAGGTGTAGATAGATAGCGTAGCGTCGCTGAAGTTGCTAGCACTGGTAGTTAGAGCTTAGGTATTGCTGTTGGACAACAGTTGACCTTGGAACCACTCAAAGTGGCTTATGGGCTGTGGCTCCAGAGTATGACGAATGCTGTGGCTGTTCAGCTCGGTCGTTTCAAGCCAGGTTGGAAGACGGTCTGAGCCTGTATGAATCACGGGGGAGGGGCCATTTAATGGTTGTCGTCCACTAAGATTTAGTCACTAACACGGGAATTCGACTTGCGGCAACACCAAAAACCACAAACTACTGGCCATTGGTCCGCGCATCATCTACGTCGCAAAGCCTGGCGCATATGTTCTCGCGTTTTACGGACCAGTGGTAGCATAGTCCCGAGGCCCAGGGGCACGGCGCAGTATTAGTAGTTGTGGCCACGGGCTTGCACCGGCGCCATGCCCTTTGAGTCTCGTACGCATTTTCCGAAACAACTAGTACTTTACCCTTTCGAATCAATAAATCAACTAACAACCGTCTCAAAGCTTCTCATATCGCACTCGTGACCAATCCTGACAGAAATGCACCAAGAGTATCACGTTCTACAAGTGCCAACACCTTGTCTACAGCTATCTCAAGGGTCGCAGCGAAACTTACACCCTCACGCTTGGAAGGAGCAAGAACTTCATTTGATCTACAGATGAATTCACACGTCGGAGCTGGAGATAAACCAGAGAAATTACATCGATTTCCGGCACAGAAAGAGGCTCCCCTGTCCGGGACCCTGAACCCATATCATGATGGCCGCATACGAACTGCAGTTCCGAGCAAGCTTAAGGGCAAGACAATTGGGAACCAAGGCAACTTCAGTGTCCTGCAAATGCAAGTCCAGAAGCCAGAGATGACTGCGCGTGACCTTGCCGCCAAGCGTACAAGTGAAAGAACCGCTGCTGCTGCAAAGCTCGCGAGTTCTCAAGGATATCGTCACCCGAGGAGACTTCGGCTGCAACCTGCAACTACCTCTCTGGCCTCCGTTCCTGTTGCTATACCTCTCGCCCAGACCCTCTCGCCACCTCGTTCTCAACTCTCATATGTCGTTCCACCCGCCCCTAGACCAAATTCTCTACCGCACATCACTCCTTCACCTGCATATCAAGAACAACCCTTGGGGAAACAGGCGGTAGCGACAACGGACATTACATTGGATATTGATTCACACCAAGTGAGTGATCCGTGTGCAGAATCAAACGGTCTGCACCCGATAAGTCCAGAGTATTCTCGCGGGCAATTTGTTGTAGTCACTGCACGAGAGGGCAGTGTGGAACAAGCAGATGCCACAGTCACAGACCAAGATCCTATGCAAGACATCAATGTAGAAGTCACAGATGAACCATTCATGACAGTAGACTCACAAGAGATCGAAACGGAACATACGAGTGGAGTAACAAAAGTTACAGGAGAAGTCAACCAGGAACAAACAAGAGAAATAACAGTTGACTCACGATGGGCCGACGCGAGTCAAACAACTGAGCTAGAATCTATGCCCCAACCTCTATCACCTGATGTAGTCAAGTCAGAACAGGCCCGGATCCTCACGCTCTTTCGATATACCCAGCCAAGGTTCATTGTAGACCAGCTTGTGGAAGCGCTGGTTCACTTTGGAACAATACCTGATGGGCCTCCGACCGATACGACCTTGTTTACTAAGAGTACTTCTAACAATGGCCCTGGTAATCTCTTCGTTTCCTGGCTTTCTGAAATTTTCCCGGCCATCCCTCTCGAATCGCATAAAATGAAGAAGCCCCCAACAGGGAGGCCACGAGGCAGGCCAAAGGGAAGCATCGCCAGTTACAGCAGGCAGACGACTGCAGTGCATAGTACGAGTACTGCTTTCGTCCCTCGGACGTACGGAACAACGAGCACGCAAATCAGATTGATGGGAGACGGAACAAGCAAATCACAACAGGCCGTTGAAGGCGTCCAAGGGCCAGATGTAATACTGTCACCGGTTCCGGCTGCTCAAAGTCCTACAGCTACCATTGTACCGGCCTCGCGGGGACAGGAAGACGTGTCATTACAGCCCATAGCAGACGTTTCAAGCCGGACTGTTGCAATTCCACGAATGAGGTCAATTTTTCCATCAATGGCACCAATTGCAGAAGCATCTGCGCCAAACTCAACACCAGTACAGCGCAAGAAATCTACAGGTAGGCCTCGCGGCCGACCACCCGGATCGAAGAACAAGTCGAAGTCGATATCCAAAACACAAAGTGATAAGGCTGGCCAACAGGATTCGCGACCTGGCAGGTCAAATTACTTAGGGCCACAATCTGAAGCATTGTGGCCTCTCCAGCCAAACAGCGGCTCTCCGGATACTGTTGAGTCAAGAATGGCCCGGCCAGATGCATTAGACTCACTTGGTAGTATCAAAGAGAAGAGAAGGATGATTGATCCCAATTCACAAAGGACCTTGCAACAAGCTCCAAGAGAAGGCCCAACCACAATCTTGCCTCAAGCCTCTGATCCGACTGCACCGCCAGCTAGCAGTTCACAACAAGCGAAACGGCGACGTTTATCCCAGGAGACATTTCGAAGAGATCCTGTGTCATCTGTAGCAAGTATTTCTAGGTCACGGGCACTATCAGATGTGTTTGAGAGCAACTCAAGTATGGGATTCCAGTCAGCTCAGTCTCGTCCGTCACAATATACTTCACGGCATCAGAATCAGAATTGGTATATAGAACACCCCTACCAGGGGCAACAGCCTCAATCTCAGTTGCATCCTCCCCTGCAGCATCAGTTCCACCCACAGCAACTTTCACGAAATACGGGGTCTGGAACATGAGGTTAGTCTTACAAACATCTTCTCCTCTGGCTGATATGTGTTGAAGGCAAAAGGGATGGAAATCCTAGCAGCTGATGAAACACATAAACTTCAAGAATATGTCATGTAATCGGCTCGTCAGAGCTCCTGGTCGTAAGCCTCCAAACATGTCGATGGTGGCCACCTGTCAAAAGCAGGAATAACACAACAGCTGATGATGAACCAGCTGATCAGTCCGATTCAAAGGACTCACACGAATGAAGACAATGAGCTTTCCAGGACAATAGCGAGAACCGGATGATCAGCCGTTCTTTTCTTAACAAAAGCGACGTGCAATTACGCACAGCGCACTATGTGCAGACAACAATGAAAACAGACGAAGGACGGGTTACAGGCGCACGGGTTAGCTTCGTTAAGTTGTTCGTGTGGCCGGACAATTTAGTGTATTGGGTTTGATAAGATTTGAGATTGTGTATTTTGCGGCTCAGAACGGCGCGAGTGGAATGTTTGTACGGAAAGACGGGCGTAACGCGAGTATTGCTTTTGATGGCCTGCTACCTAATATTGATCATAAAATTCAACGGTTAAATCTTATCAGGCAAGGTAACACACTTCACGGAGCGCAGGTTATGGTTAGTGAGTATCTCCATGTACCTAGATGATTGTATCAGTTCTCTTTTGGTTTAAAGAAAAAGAAAGGCTTCGTGCCGACGGCTAGAATGTAGAAAAAAACCCAGCTAACTGGCTACAACAGCTGTGAGACAATGAAGATGCCTAAGCCATGTCTGTTGTCGGCCATGAGCTAATATTTGCTTAGATAGACACAAAACATAACGGCACAGGTATTAAAGGACAGCAATTGATCCACGAAACTTTTGATATTGAATTGTGCCAAATACCACAAGGTTAAAAGGTAAATAGTGAAGTGACATAAAAAAGAAATAGTCGTATAGACAGTCGGTATCAATATGTAATGGCCAGCCAATGCTCCATGCAGAACCATGCTCGACAACGCAGCAACCCTTTCCCCTGCAGTCGGATAGCAACAAAAATAAAAATAAAAACGCCGTGTAAATGCTCAAAAGCCCCGTCTTTGACACATGCATGTACCCAAGTAAATGTAGTATAATACCTTCCTAAAAGGACGCTCGCCAACAGCAAATATATAGAATGAAAAATGCCCATTGGGTGTGATCAATCCGCATCGTCATCAGTGACACTGACGGGAGGCCGCACGGAATCGGGGATGCTGCGGCCGTACCACCATTCGTCCTCTTCGTCAAGCCCATCCTCTCGGATCAAATCCAGCATGACCTGTTGATTGCGCTTGATGTCCTGCGGGCGCTCGACGATTCGCCGCTGAAGGACGAGAGCCTCAGCTGATGTGAGCCATATTTGTTGCAGTACAGGAAGGTCGTTGAGGAGAGCCTGGGCCTGTTGCGAACTCAGAGCGGACATGGGCGCGCCAGCAGATAAGCTCGTGTTAAAGACAAGGCCAGCATCCCAGTCCATGTTCCCATCTATAGAGCCTGAGCTCCGAACCTTATTTAATGCGGCACCAGTTGACCGGGTTTCGCTAGTAGACTTCTTGCGTCCAAATAGGCTTCGTTTAGGCTTTGATGTCGACGTGGCCAACTCGGTAGAAGGCGCGTCCTTGGTAAGAGCATTGAACCATGTGTCAACGGCGCCACGGCGACTGTTGTATCCTTTAATTTCCCAAAGCCTCTCCACTTGTCGGAGTCCACCAATGCATAAGATGGCGACATGCACGTCGTCCGACGGTTTCTCCCGGATATATCCACGAAGCGATCTCTCAACTCTGCCCACGTATGTTGGTGGACGTAGTCTTCGACAGAACGATGATATCACAAGCGGAAATACTTCGTGGACCCGTAATAAGGTTTGGTCGTCATACATGCTCATGATTTCGGCTTCGATGGGATTAATGGTGTAAGGTTCTCGTCTTAAACCTTTACCGTCATTCTGGGCCATGCGTTTTAGATAGAGGTTCCGATACGTCTCAAAAAAGTGGAAGATTGTGAATAAAAGAGGAATCAGTCGTCGTCGCATGCGTTCGTTCTGGGGTGCAAAAGCAATTCGTTGGGCTTCGGTCTGGCGAAGAAAAATATCTTTCGTAATCCATTCGCACATCAGGAAGGCAAGCTTCGCAGCGACATGCAATCGATGCCACAGACCACATAAATGCTGGAAGTTAATCTGGTTGGAATCGGTAATAGGATATAGGCGTGTGGCATAAGCGGGGATGTGGTGTTCAAGATGGTATCGAGCAATGGTATTTTCGTTTAACGTGACGAGGGTATGCCATGACTTGGAAGCAAGTCGGAGGTTGAGTATATCGGTTAGGGGTAAAGCAGAGATGACTTGAATCTGTAGCTCGTTGGGTAGTCCAAGAAAAAGTTGATCGAAACTGGCACTAGTGTTACAAGTCAGCTGGGTGAACAAGTATGGGTGTCAGTATATATTCAATTACCTTTTCCGTGTTAATTCAGCAGAAACACGAGGTGCACTGGTAGGGGAGTTGGACTTGGAATGAAGTATTGAAACCCTAGAACGTAGACCGAAGAAACGAGACTTGTCACGCTTTTCACCCGGCTTGATGGGTTCAGTATCGACGGTTTTAGATTCTCGTAATGGAAGAATGAACCTTGACGGCGATGGCGTGGTAGCGTCAAGACTTGTTTGAGTCGACGGAGTCTGATGTTGATGTTGCTGATGCGCGTTGAGCTGGTTCAGCTTTTCAAAATAACGTTCTGAGGCGAATTCGGTTATATGTGGCGGGTCCATAGCCATGGTACGCGGTGGATGGTTCGCCATGGTGATAAGTTATCGAAGAAATGAGCGACGTTGAACGCTACCGAGCGAGGTTGCGGCGCAAGACCTTCGAGATCAACGATAGGACGATAGTGCCTCGGTCAAGCGAGCCCAGGTGGCTGTAGACGTCCGTCTCTATTGCGCACTGAATGAGAATAAACTGGACATGGCGAGCGGGAGAGCAATTTGATGAGACGGAGGGATCGGTAATACCGAGATCCAATGCCGAAGATTTGAGACGCAAATAAATCGAGGTCAGAGGCACAATAAGACAAGGAAAGGTGTGCGTCTGAGTCTGAGTCTGAGTCGGTCGATATCGTGAATGCGAAGTCGTGGTGTTTCGAGTTGGCTTGGATAGGAAAGGATAGTAAGACGGGGTAGGATGGGATGAGTTCAGGCAAAGTGACAGGAAAGTGGGAATACAAAGAAAGAGCGAGCGAGCGTAGTGATGACTACCTAGGAAGGAAGGGGACTTTCAGGTACAAGGGTACCAAGTAGAGGAGGTACGAATCCGGGGGAAGAGGGAAAGGAAAGGCACGGAGGGGGCATGGGTGTAAGCGTTTCTTGAGTGGCGGGTAGGAGTGAAGAAGGGGCGTGTGTTTATGGCAACTCCACAGACGGGACGATAATGAATTTAATGAGAACAGAGACAGATGCAGTCAGTATATACAATAGGTAGAGTATGATACCGCATTCTCTTGATTGCAGTTATAGCCATTGATCACTGAACTTTGGATATGGATTTAGGCACAAAGTACACAATTAGGATCAAAGTACGAATGAAGCATTGCTCTGCGTACCCAGGGATGATGATATTACACCCGCTGGTTGGCGAGGATCTCCCAGTTATCTGGATACTTTCCGTTTCTGGAGATGGAGATTGCCTGCCTGCCTTAGCACCCGGTATTTGCCTTGAGAGGTAGATACTATTAGTGATTACTACTAGACTAAGGCAGATAGATTCCCTTAAAGATACCTAGGTAGGTACTGCCCATGCCCAGTACATACTGCACTGATGATAATAAACGTAGAAGGAAGGAAAGAAAAAAAAGAAAATTTAACGCCGAGCCGACCAAAAGGCCAGGCCACCATCATGGGGGGGACGGACCGACCGGTCGTGGGTGTGCAGTGGACAAGCTACCTAGTCTGGGCTAGGTTATTCTCGTAGACTAACGCTACAACACATCACAGTAAAGCAACAGTTTTGCAGTTTTTAGACACCTCATGGCCGCCCAATGTTAACGCTCGGTTTGGACCTACCACGCGGCGCTTGACCGGCCAAACTGTGGAGAGTTTCTGGCAGCTGTGGGGGTGACTTTGGGGCCCCTTTTGCTCTGGAGAAACCGCGTGAGGTACATACCTAAATGGAACCCTCCCCCAGCGCTTTGGGCTTCCCGTCCTGGAGAGAAAATCTGGGCAGCCATACTCCTCCCAGTCCCGTCAAGGAAGGACCCAGAATGACGATGGAAGCCCTCCACTGCTTTACGCAAATCTCCCCACAGTCTTGACAAACAGCAGTTTCTATTAGCATCAGTATTCCTCTTGACCCTGAAATGCCCGCGATCCTCCAGTACTTTTAGTGACCAGCTGACGTTGTTGATGCATCCGTCCTCCACTCCAACGCTCCAGAAAACCGCCGGTACGTTGAGTTGTTGTGTAGTAGTAGTGACCTAGATAATGTACAGAGAGAGTAGTGTACAGTTGCTGCAAGGCAAGTCACCACGCGACTGTGCTCACTTTCAAAGATCGTCAATGAAATCCCCGAGTCGGCCCAATTGGCCGGCCATATTCTACATACCATGCGGCGTCTACCGGTGGGCTTGCATCTATATCTTGGGTTGCCTGTAATATTCTGTGGCGTGCGCCGCGATGCCATCAAAGGCTCTCCCGAAGTTGTTCCCGAAAGTTTTATCGACAACGTTACAGCGCCTCTAATCAAGCTAGGTTACGTATATACCTTCAACAACGATCCCATCCTCCATGAAACTTTTGCAGCCGCTCACTAACAAGACACAGTAAGCCCGGGCGTAGCACTTAACGGTAAATACCTCTCTTCCTAGCTTTAACCGACTGGTCGGGAGAGAAAGAATGAGAATTGTTCGGCCCCTGCAGCCTCTTTTTCGTTCTTTCTTACGTTTCTATGGATAATGGCTCTCTTTTCTCCCTGAAGGCTTAGGGCTAGAGCGTTCTTGTTAGGTTGTCTTGGCTGACCCGGCTGAGACTTGGCTCTTCTCCAAGACCCGGGTCCGCCGCTCGTTCATATCTCGGTCTATTCAACCTGAATTGCATTTAGCCGGTCCAACAAGATGGGTCTACACAAGATTAGGTGGCAGACTTTTTGTGTGGACATGCTCATCAAGTTTGCCATTGTCGAGAACTGGTCAAACGATAGATATGAGATGACAAGGCCCGAGTCAGGAGCAAATTGCATGTCATCCGCATGTTCTATTCAACTGTCGGCCGAGTCTTTAACTCAACAGGTCGTCAGAGTTTGTTGGCTCTTGGAACCTCGGAGCAGTCGATTCGATTACCCTATCAGCGACAGCAGATGATAAGGTCTTAAAACCAACGCGATGTCGGCAAGTGTCCAAAGATTTCGTGATATCTTGGTCATCATTTGTTGAAGTATGTATCTACAACGTCTCTGTTTCACTAACGAATGACATCACATCAGGCTGCAATTAATAACAGATAGGCCGAAGAATGATAACATTGTTGTTTACATTGCAGGAGTACACGCAGTGCCCCTCGATCCCGAAATATCAACTAATATGACCTACCATAGATTTTCATGCAGAACTGTCGTGATGGCCAAACGAGAAGTCAATACCCCAAGACAAAGTGAGCAAGCCTTGGTAGTATTCACAGCTTGACGATAAAATGACACGGAGCTTTGGCCATGACTCCCCCAGGGTCGCGTGGATCCGATCCGTGTCTTGTCACAGAAAGAAGCCGAGGACCCTCTCCCCGGCCGAGAGCTAGATCAAGTGAGGTGTGATAGAGTCAGTCCGAGTGGGTGAGAGCTTTTGCCGTGCGAATCGCGTGGCTCGTGCAATAGGTTTGAGACGCAGATAACTCCATCAAACCTGATCTATGTCGCATGCAGTGTTGTTAATTGCCGTGGCCCTCGACAAATTGGAACCCCAAGATGTCACGGCATGTGTGTGCTGTGTGCCTATCCTATCCTGTATATCTCTAGAGGCTCGTAAATGCGATTTTGGAATGTTTCTCTTTCGAATGCAACAGGTTAGTCTATAGTACTTGATGACGATATAGTCTGTGAGTTGAGAATTCTTGTTCTCCACGTCAAGAAATCAGATTTGAGTATGGGTCTCGGGTGTATTTCTGGTCATTGTTGAGTTGTCATTTAGACTGGCTTTGAGTTGACGCCGGTTTCAGGCCATGACAATTTGATGTTCTCATTTATTGGTCCATGATGTTATGGATATCTCTGATACACTTGTACGACATCAAAAGAGTAGAGTTGAGGGTCGATAAGTTCGCGAGTAAGGCAGAGTCAAATAACTGGAGTTGTCTGAATATGGTTGTGGATGCGAGGACCAGCTGAATGGACCCGAGACAGACACCACCCTTCTTCTTCCTAGTCTTCCTAGTCTTCCTAGTCAGCAGGGGAGGGGGGGGCGTGTTCTTATTAGACGCGGCCTTACTGCGGTGATTCTGGGCAGAAGACCTGGCCCATCCGTGACAAGCTCAATATTCAGTGTCTCATCGACGCCGATCAAGAGAATTCATTTATCTCTGGTTGGCTGTTGAATTTAAGAAAACAAGACGAGCCTAAGAGTTCCGTATGGTAAGTCGAGTAGTAACATTACAGCACGGTACAGCACAGCTATAAGCAAAGCAGTAACAGTTGATGTTAGTAATAGTCGGGCTGTCTTGCTTCACTGATGGTGTACTCGACAGGTAGGATGGACAGCACTTATTGCATGTAGTTAGAGGCTGCGGTACTTCTTGGAAAAGATAGAAAGGCCGATTGGAGTGTTTCGTTTTGGGAACTCTGCCGCCTTGGCAGTAGAATCTGTAACGTTTCTTTGCTTTGTTTAAAGATTCTAAGAATCTTCTATTCTAATGGCGCCTCGTATTGGTCTGAGGCAATCTCAAATACATGCAGTATAGAGTAATGGTATAGGCCTGAACAGGTAAAGAAAGTGCGTGTATCGATCGATACCTTTGATGTGATGGCACATCATTTCTTATCCGTCAAAACGGCATTTATAAAGATCAGCAGCACATGTCAAACTCAGGTTGGCTCGAGCTTCAGCGGCCGAACGCTATAATGTGTGCTGGTGACATGACCAGTTTCAGTGACTGCATCAGCTCACTCACTTTTAATCGGCCGATAAGGACAACGGTGTGGCGTAAATGCTATCCATAGCTCGATCGAAGCCAAGCTTTGTTTGCCCACAGCTACTACTATGTACCAAGGTAGTAGGCGAGTAGGTAATTGTAGCACTGCCTCAATTTCAACAGTAGATAAAAAGATCAAACCATGGATGATGATTGGATGCTGAACTCTTTTCTCAATAACAAGTTCCTCATCTGTGTACTCCGATTGGAAAATCTCCTTGTATATTCGTTACATACCTAGTATCGGCCTTGTTACCAAGATATCTGAGCACTTCCCCAGGTTAATTCCGTTTCATCCCGCTTTCAGTCCACTTCTTTCCCCTCTGCTTCTCCTCGTTCCTTCCTTATGCCAGATGTAATTAACGGTCAAAAGAAATATCATGTCATCCGATGATCGACTTAATGTTCTTTTCTCTCTCAAATGTCCTGAAACTGGCAACTCCCCCGCCACCATCTACAGTCGCCACCGCTGCTGCGCTCTTTCCTTACTTGGCTGACTCGACGTTGTTACCTTTACGGCTTTCTCAGTCAAGTCAATCTTTAGAGACAGCTCTCAGTACTAGGTCCCGTCCCCCGCCGGTTGAATGCGGAATGTGCCCGGGTTTCCTTCTCGCGCAGCAATAACCTTGCCTGGA